CGGTGCTGCGCCTGTTGCAAGCGAGGCCGATGCGAAGTCGACGGCAGCGGCTGTACCCAAGGATAACGCCAAGGAGGATGTGCCCGCAACAACCAAGCCCGACGCGCCGCAGTCCTCGCCCTTGCGCGGTCAGGTCGTTCGACCGACGCATAGCCGCCTTGCGTCCACGCTGTCGTCCAGCGCTGCTGACGACGAGGCGGAGGCGAGACAGGAGGGCGGCGCCGAGGAGGAGGACGGCCTGCTCTCTGGCTCGATGCTGCTCGAACAGGATGACCGCGATCTGCCGGCGCCGACTTCGACTCTGTTCTCAGCGATGGGCGGCGCAACGCCAGACGAAGACGACATTCCGGCTGTCGACGACAAGATGGGCGGCTCGTCGCATCTCGCGCCGATCCCGATTCCGCGCAGCAGTGGAGGCTTGGCGCCACCACCCGCCACGGAGCTGCTAGCGCCCCGATCTGTGAGCGGTGCGATTGCGGCCGGCCCTTCGCAGCGAAGGTCGGTCAGCCGTCCGCGCCGTTCGTCTCACCTGCCTCCGCCGAGCGACGGCTTTGGAGGCACGCCGCCGCTCTCGCCGCACATGTATGGCGAGTCGCTGGGCGTGTCGCATCGCCATCACCGCAAGTTTAGCGTGTCGCACAAGAGTCCCATGGCCGGCTCGATGCCACTCTCGCCGAGGATCCCGCCGGCTGCACCTTCGTCGCGGCCCACGGCTTCGTCGATCAAGGATTTCGACATCATCAAGCCCATCAGCAAGGGCGCGTTCGGCAGCGTGTTCCTGGCCAAGAAGCGCACGACGGGCGACTACTACGCGATCAAGGTGCTCAAGAAGTCGGACATGATCGCCAAGAACCAGATCACCAATGTCAAGGCGGAGCGCATGATCCTCATGACGCAGAACCAGTCGCCGTTCGTGGTGAAGCTCTTCTTTACGTTCCAGAGCGCCGATTTCCTGTATCTCGTGATGGAGTATTTGCCGGGCGGCGATTGCGCCTCGCTGTGCAAGGTGCTCGGCGGGCTGTCCGAGGAGTGGGCGCGCCAGTACATCGCCGAAGTGGTGATTGGGCTGCAGCATCTGCACTCGAAGGGCGTCGTGCATCGAGATCTCAAGCCGGACAATCTGCTCATCGACCAAAAGGGTCACCTCAAGCTCACGGACTTTGGTCTCTCCAAGATCGGTCTGCTGGGTCGTCAGACGCGCCAGGCTGCTGTGGCGGCTGCGTCGAGCGGCTCGGCGGGTGGCGCGTTTGCGGGCAAGGGACAGCGCACCGACTCGAACAGCGGGTCGCTGCCGAGCTCGGCGGCGTCGTTTGCTTCCGAGGCGCGGAACCAGGCGCTGTCGACGCCTGCCGGGACAACGGCGGGCGACACGGCGGCTTCGTTCTCGCCCATGACACCCGGACTGGGCGGGATGATGCGCAACCAGTCGTTCTTTGCGGCGCCGCAGCGCGGACGTATCATGAGCTCGTCGACGGACGCGAGCGACTCGGGCGAGTCGGACTCGCAGCGCGGTGTGCCGAAGCCGCTGCCGTCGGCGCGAATCGAGAGTCCGGTCAACCTGTTTGGCACGCACGCGCTGCTGAGCGACAACCTGCGCGCGTCGTCGGGCGACGGTGGTGCGAGCACGCCCAAGCGATTTGTGGGCACGCCCGACTATCTGGCGCCCGAGAGCATTCTGGGTATCGGCATGGATGACTTTGCAGTGGACTGGTGGGCGCTGGGAGTGATCCTGTACGAGTTCCTGTACGGCGTGCCGCCGTTCCATGCCGAGACGCCGGAAAAGGTGTTTGACAACATCCTGTCGCGACGGATCGACTGGGAGGAGGACTCGGTGGAGGTGTCGGGCGAGGCGCGCGATCTGATGGAGCAGCTCATGTGCACGGATCCGAAGCGGCGTCTTGGATCTGGCGGGCCAGAGGAGATCAAGAGCCACGCCTTCTTCAAGGGGTACGACTGGGAGAATGTGACGGCGGAGCCGGGACCGTTTGTGCCGCAGGTGACGGACCCGGAGTCGACCGACTACTTTGACCTGCGCGGCGCGAGCCATCAGGACTTTGACGACGAGCCGTCGCATGGACCGCACGGCGCTCACGGCACGCGCGAGTTTGCGCGTGCAATCGAAGGCAAGCCGTTTGTGCAGACGGGCCTGCCGCCATCGCGCATGCGGTCTCGACTGGAGAAGGCGCTGCAGGCGGACAAGGAGGCGGAGCACGAGGATTTCGGCAACTTTAGCTACAAGAATCTGCCGGTGCTCAAGCAGGCCAACGACGAGGTGATCCGCAAGATGCGCGAGGAGCAGATGCCGGCGCTGGCGCGGGCGCTGGAGCAGTCGGCGATCTACACGCGCCACCGCAGCTTTTCGGCGAAAGGGCGGCCGGCGCAGCGGGTGCATTCGCAGACGCTGGCGGGACCGCCGTCGCCGGCGCAGAGTGCGTCGTCGCAGGGCTCGACGCCGTCGCGTGGAACGGCGCCCACGTCGCCGTCGGCTCAGCTGGCGGGGTTGGCGCATAGGAGGCGCACGTCGGAGCTGCCACCGCCCAGTGCGGCGGTGCTGGCAGCGGCGTCGACGCCGGATGGCAGCAGTGGCGATGCGGGCAGCCAGACGGATCGCGCGTTCCCGTCGCCGTCGGCGGCGCTGGCCTCGGGGATCGTCGACCGCCGAAGGCAGCAGCTGGTGGAGGCGGCGGCGGGTAGCGGGGAGCGGCGCAACTCGATGCCGTCGCGACTGCGCACCAAGTCGGTGAGCATGGGCGAGCGGCCGTCGCTGCCGTCGCAGTGGGGTGCAGCGCCGGCGGGCGAAGGAGGCAAAAAGGCGGTGGCTCGTGGCTTTGCAAATGCGCTGGGGAGTGCGAGCGCGGCGGCAGCAACGGCAGCGGCTTCACCCACAGCGGCGGTGTCGCCAACGCAGGCGATGAGCGCGTTGCCAGCGACGGCGGGAGGCGCGGGCCATGCCGAGGAGATTGCGTGTCTGATCGCGGAGGACAATCCGATTGCGCTGCGGATGCTCGAGACGATCCTGGTCAAGTTGGGCTGCCGATGCGTGGCGGTGCGGGATGGTGCGGAGGCGGTGCGGCTGGCGATGGGCGAGGAGAAGTTTGGGGTCATGTTTATCGATGTGACGCTGCCGATCGTGGGCGGGCAGGACGTTACGCGGATGGTCAAGTCGACGCGCAACGTCAATTCGACGACGCCGATTGTGGCGCTGGCGTCGTTCGACCGGGGCGAGCCGGTGGATGCGGCGGGCTCGCTGTTTGATGCGGTGCTCGCCAAGCCGCTCGAGAAGATGGACGTGTGCGCGACGCTGTCGCAGCTCGGATTCACGCCGACGCAGGGCGCAGCGGCGGCCGAGGCGGGCAGTGGACAGGCGACGGGCGAGGCGTCGGGTGTCGTTCCGGGCACCGCGAGTGCCGGGCCCGATTCGCGGCCGCTGTCGAGAAAGTCGACGCTGGCGAGGAAGACGGCGGGAAGCGCGGCGAGGCCGAGTACGCCGCCGGCCACAGCAGCTGCAGCAGGAGCGGGAGTGGGCGTGGGAGTGGGAGCAGGAGGGTCGGGACAGCACACGCCGTACTCGTCTTCGCCGCTGGGTAGCTCGGTGCTGAGCTCGCGGCTGATGGAAGCGACGGGCAAGGCAGGCAGGCATCCGTTGACGAGGAGGATGGGCGAGGAGGGCGGCGCTCGGGACGAGGATACGGCCGAGACGCTCAGCAAGGTGGCCGAGAGGTTGTCGCTCACGTAGCCGCCGCGTAGCCCGGCGTGGCGTAGCGCAGCGTAGCCAACACAGCAGGGGTTCAAGGGTCTTGTTCTCTTTGTTCATCATTTGGTTCTGATTTTTCTTTTGCATGCATAGCATTTGGTTTCTCATCGAGTCGGGTGGTGTTGGTGCAGCGAAGGGAGATGGAGGGCCCGATGGGTTGTAGACCCGATATGGGTACGTGCGGGCTGGAGGGAGGAGATGAGGATGATGACGTTTGGGCTTGGGCATCTCCGCATCTGCGCGATCATCTCCGCTTCGCGTGGACTAAAAAGGGCCGCTTTTTGAGAGACCCCAGGGCGTGCGCGTCTGGGGCGCTCCGCGGAACTTTTTGCAAACCTGCCCACCTCGTCATGCGCCTTTACAGCGCAACTTTTTTATCCTCGACATTCACTGTTATCTTTTGTATGCTACAAAAACGGGTTGCTGTCCAAGTCAACAGCTGTGAGTTTCGACGGGATTTAGGATCCGATGCGATTGCTGCTGAGTGCAAGAGGTGTCGGGCCGGAGCGACGACCAGAGTGAGGTCCGAGCGAGGCCAAAAGGAACGCGCGCGCGCGGCTGGTCGGAGTTGAGATTCTCGGCTCTCGGCTCTGAGCTCTTTCTTTCTTGACCAGGCCACGGCACTTTTTGCCAGAGCGCGTGGACTTTTGGGTCTTGGGCTAAAATTAAAAGAAAAAAGGTCCGGCCGCACGAAGCACGAGGAGGCGAAAAAAAAAAGAAAGTTGAATTTGAAGTGAGGCTTGTTGGGCAGCAGCGCGCCTCGGAGCGGCGGCGGCCACGCTGGGCGCTGGTCTCGGCACTTTTGGCCGCTCGCTCGGCTCGTGCAGCACCGCGTGTCTGATTGCAGCCCAATCCAAAATCAATCCTCTTGGCACACACCCACGCCCGCACCTGCACACACTCCTTCGCATCGGCCGCCCTCCTCCTCCTCCTCCTCCTCCTCCTCCTCCTCCTCCTCCTCACCCTACTTCCTCTCGTCCATCACTTCAACGTCACATCACGCAGGCGCATCTTTAGGAGAGGACGCACGCATTCATCGTCCATCACCACCCAGCCCATGCTGTACTCGCAAGCATAGATTGCACACCTCCCACAGCAACCACTCGAAACCTCGCACGCACATGCCCGTTGATCTGAATCTCGATCTCGTCCAGCTCGCATAGCCCTGTCACGCTGCTCCATCGTACTTGCCCCCCTCGCACCCGGCACCGGCCTCCGGGCCGTCATCTCGAAAACCTCGGCGACCATGGCGTCCTTCCTATCGAGGCGCACCTCGCACATCCTCCTCGTCCTCCTCGGCCTCTTCCTCGCAGGCACCATCGTCGTCCTCTCTACCGCCAACGCCTACTTCTCCATCGACTCCTCCGCCTACATCCTCCCCGAAGAACTCGGCACATGGCAACAGATCCAGTCCGGCGACTCGCCAGACGGGCCCGACTCCTGGGCCGCACGCATCCCCTGGCTCGCCAAACTCACCCAACCTTCCTCCTCCTCCTCCTCCACCGCCAACACCCACAACAACACCATCGATCCCAACGACCCCATCGCTCGCCCGCAGCCATGGCGCGACAACACCCCCAAACCCTGGGACGCCGCCAATCCGGCAGAAAAGATCCCACGCATCATCCACCAGACTTGGAAGGACCAGCATCTGCCGCCGCGATGGCAGGCCATCCGTGACGAGTGCGAAAAGATGCATCCGGACTACGAATACATGCTCTGGACCGACGCCTCCTCGCGCAGCTTCATCCAACAGCACTACAACTGGTTCCTCCCCGTCTTTGACGCCTACCCGTACCCCATCCAGCGTGCCGACGCCATCCGCTACTTTGTCCTCCACCACTACGGCGGCATCTACATGGACCTCGACATCGGCTGCCTCCGCCGCTTCGACCCCCTCCTCCGCTTCGAGGTCATCCTCCCCAAGACCATCCCCGTCGGCGTCTCCAACGACGTCATGCTCGCAGCCAAGGCGCATCCCTTCATGGACCAGCTCATCCACAACCTCGTCAACTTCAACCACCAGTACCTCACCAACTACCCCACCGTCATGTTCTCCACGGGGCCCATGTTCGTCTCCGCCTCCTACGGCCTCTATGTCGACGTGCACGGACCCGCGTTCCCCTCGACGCCCAAGCAGCCCGACGCAGGCTTCAAGGGCGTCCGCGTACTGCCCAAGTCGCTCTACGGCAAAAACGTAAAGCCCATCGATGCGCCCGACGCCTTTTTCTCGCATTTCTACGGATCCAGCTGGCACGCCAACGACGCAGGCTTCCTCATCTTTCTGCGCAAGTACGGCCGCGTGCTCATCGTGCTCGGCCTCGGCGTCGTCCTCTACGGCTTCTTCCGCACGCTCCTCCCCTCGTTCCTCTGGCGCGTCGGCAGTCGTGCCGGATTCGGCCGCGGTAGCAGCAGCAGCAATCGCCGCGGTCAGCGCGAGCAGGGACGCTGGATCAGCCTGCCCATCGGCACGTCGTCCCGCGCGCTCTCGCGGCGCCGGTCCAAGCGCAGGTCGACCACCGACGAGGACCGCGCGGTGCTTCTCGAGGACATGGACCGCAACGACACCGCAAGCACCTCGGCCGCCAATCCGAGTCGGCTCTCGATGCCCGCGCCGCGGCCGACGCGTCTGAGCCTGCCGCTGTTTCAGCTGCAGGACTCGGAGCCGCGCGAGCCGGCGCCGCAGTCGGTGCTGGCGTGGATGGGGCAGACGCTCTCGCGGCCGTCGTCGCGCGGCGATGCGATCGGCGAGATGGAGGCGAGCCGCGCCACTGCCGACAGCCCCTCCAAGAAGAAGGGGGTGCTCTACCTGCCCGCCTACTTTGTGCGCGGCGATGATGGCGCGAGCAGCACCGAGTCGCAGCTCAGTCCGAGCAGCAGTGCCAGTTCGCAGCAGCTGCCCGCGGCACATGCGCACAGCCCGCTCTCGCTGAGTAGCTTTGGTCCCAGCACCGCGGGCACTGCTGCGTCGGCGCAGAGTCTGGGGCAGTGGGCGCATGGTTTGTTGCCTGCTGGGTGGCGTGGACCGAGTCCGGCACCGAGCCATACGAGCCGACGCAGCAGGTTGAGTCAGGATGTGGACCTCGAGAGTCTGGGCAGTAGGGCTAGTCAGGATGCCGAGGATGACTGGAAGGGCAGTAAGGATGCACAGCCGCTGCTGGATAGGGAGGGCGCCAGGTCTGCACCGCCTCCGTACGAGAGCCCGTATGCGGAGACCAAGGGCGCGGATGAGAATGCCTAGTCNCCCCTCCCCCCCCCAATCCCCCCTAAGCCTGCGCGCGCGCGTGGGGGGGGGAGCAATGCTCATGATTGTTTTCGACGGATCCAAGGGCCTTCCGGAGTGGCTGGGATTGTGTGTGACAGAGAGCGCGGGGTGAGGGTGAGGATTTCTGGCGCCGCTTGTCGTGCGGGTTTGGAGGTGTGGTGAACAGCGTGGGGGGGTTCAAGCGACGAGGGCGTTGACGGAATCACACCTGGGATGGGTGTTTTGGTCTTTGGGTCATCATGGTTTCTATTGCAGGATCGCGTTGGGGGATGTGGTGACTATGCGGCGTCGGGATGGGTGAGGTGTTGCATGATCAACTCGTACGTCAGAATTGTCAATGCCGAGCTTGGGACGGTCCTTACAAGGTTGACTGTCATGCCCTTGTAGAATCCTCTGACGCCTTCGTCCCTTGCAATGGTTTTGCAGGCCTGCAATACTCCGGAGTAGGTTCTTCCTTGGCCGCGTGGTTGCATTTGCAGTCGGGTGCGCAGCACTTCGTGCGGGTACGTTGTAACGCTCGCGATCATCTTGGCGCTGCTGCTGCAGGTCAAAATCTCCGCCGCTGTCAAGTCGTCCCTCCCCACGCGATCCCTCGCGAGGCTCTTGAAGCTTTCGTACAGCGGGAATTGCACCGCCACATGCGAAACACCCAGCAAACTCGGTAGCAAGCCTTTGTAGAACCCACGTAGGCCTTCTGAGCGGTAAATTTGGACGAATGCATCGGCGGTATGGCGGTATCGTTGAACCGAAGAGCGGGAGGATTGCAGCATGAACCGTGTCTTGACCACCCACAGTGGGGATGTGCATACGGTACTTGCAGCTCCAGCTGTCATGGCCGAGACAATGTGATTCACAAAGTCTTCTTCTCCAGACCCAGCCACATCGCGCGCGAGGATGGTCTTGCACGAATCGTACACGCTAAAGTAAATCGCCCATGTCGGCAAGTATCCAAAGATCGTCGGTCCCAATCCGCGATAAAACCCACGAATCCCATCATCCGCCCAGATCTTCCGCAGCGTCCCCCTTAAACCGAGGTATCGTTGCGTTTCGACCGAGGATATCGCTGAAGCGTCGGCTATTGGTGTGGAGAGAGCGGCGGGTCGACGACGACCTTCTTGTGCCTGGAGTCGCGTCTTGACTACGTCCAGCGGACACGTAAGCACGCTCGAGACTAGGCCTGCACATGCACCGGCGATAGCTGACGAGTGCATCGTGCACACAGAGCCGCCGCAGCCGAACCCACGTCCTAACCGGCTGCCGCTGCGAAAAGGTGGAACTGGCCGCGGTCACAAGCTGCAGTCACGAGAAGGCGCAGTGGGCTACGCTAGCATCGGCCAAACCCAATGCCGCGTGCGCGCCGGTCAAAGGCGCAGAAAGCACAAAGAGCGACGCACCAAGGGCACGGCCACTGTCACAGCGCTTGTCGGATGCCGACCAGTGAGCAGATCGATTGCGAGACTGGCGTTGATCAGCAGATAATACTCGATGCGACTCGACTGGCTGCTTAGACTTGTCGTATAGAAAGAATGTCAGGTCGTCGCAAGTGCTGGAGGGGGTATGTGCGGATGTGCGTGCCGGGATCGTGGACGTCGTTTGGCGGCAAAGAGAGTGATGGATGGCCGGGCAAGGGCAAGCGATAATGGATCGGTGGTGGAGGTTTGGCGACGCCGTCCTCTGCCGGCGTCCGTTTGGCTGCCGCTGCTGCATGAGCCTCAGCACTGTGCATCTCTCTCCCTCCGCTCACTTTGGCCCTCTCGCACGTCCATCGTCACGCGCGAGATAGCCTCCGAGAATTCATCTCAATGTTCACTTTCTCGTAGCTAACATATTGGTTTCCAAAAATGTACTTTCACGCTAAGATGCCCCCGCTGCCACCTAGTGCAGCGTGGCGCCGGCGTCGCGGATGACCTTGGCAAGTCCAAGCAGCTCTTCGTCCTGCAGCCGCTTGCCCACCACCTGCAGGTTGATCGGCATCCCCGCCCATCGCTCCGGATCGTCTGCACAGACAAAAGAAAAGAAACTCGGTCAGCCATGAGCAAGAGGAAAGAGTTGGAGCGGTGCGCGCGCTCACATCGGTCCCAGTACTCCTGGTCGGCATTGTCGGGGAGGCCGGTGTAGGGCTTGTCGAGCGCCGTCTTGGGGTCCTTGGCGGGATCGACAAACCCGACCGGGAACACCACACACGGGCGGTCCAGCAAGCTGTGTGAGCAAAAGCAACGATCAGCAATGGACTTTCTTACGCGTTGATGCAGGACGCAGGGGCAACTCACTTCCACTGGGTCGTGTACGAGACATGGTCGTTGGTATCGTGTGGGCAGCTTGCCCAGTTGCTCACGGGTGCGATGATGGCATCCACGGGCCTTCCTGTCCCCGTCTTGTCCTTAGTCGCCTGCCAGTAGTCGAGGTACTCCTTGCGGTATGCGCTCTTTTCGCGGTTCACCTGCCACGACTCGTACGTCGACAGATGCTTGGCCTCCTTTCCATCCGCCATGAGGTTGTACATGACGGGCTCGCCGCCCTGCTCGCAGCTTCGACGGATGTCTTCGCCACCATCTGCGCTGTAGATGCGGCCGATGATGTCGTAAGCGCGCAGATGGTCGTAGGGGATCCAGTCGATCACCTTGTGTCCGGCCGCCTCGAGCTTCGCTTTGGTCTCGCGCAGCGCGCGCGTGATGGGCGGGTGCGGGTGCACGATTCCATCGTCCCACTCGATCGCAAAGCACAACTGCGTCTTTCCAGCCGCATAAGCCTCGGTGGGCTCGGAACTGCCCTTCTTGAGCTGAAGGTCCTTGAGCGCATAGGCATCTTCGTTGAACGGCATCGAGACGAGAATCGGGTCGAGTTCCCACGGTCGTTCGGCCAGCACGGCGCGCATGAACGTCACGACGCCCTCGAGCGAGTGCGTGAGCGGTCCGATGACAGAACTGACGCTCTCCTGACCGAGGAACGAGTTGGCAGCGTTCTCATAAGGCACACGATGCATCGAAGGACGCATGCCCCACAGCCCGTTGAACGCCGACGGCACACGCACCGACCCTCCAATGTCCGTGCCCAGGCCGAGCGGGCTGCCGTGCATGCCGACGAGTGCGCCTTCGCCACCGCTGCTTCCGCCGGGCGTGAAGCTGCGGTTGAACGGGCTGACCGTACGGCCGAAGATGTGATTGTGCGTCTCGCACCGCATCAGACTCTGCGGGATCGAGGTGCGCACATACGGCACACCACCCGCACGCAGAATCACGTCCGTGATCACGCTGTTGCTCTTGGCCACACGCCCGATCCACCCGACATAGCCCATGGTCATCTCGGTGTCCTTGATGTCGAACTGGTCCTTGAGCGAGACGGGCAAACCGTGCAGCAGGCCGATCGGCTTGCCGGTCGAAGCGAGGGTGTCATCACACTCCTTGGCCCGCGCGAGCGCACGATCGACAAAGATGTCCGTGCAGCAGTTGGTGAGCTGGTGCGCCAGCACCGCCCGACGCAGGAACGCCTCGGTGGTTCGAACCGACGACAGCTTGCCCGTGCGTAGAAGGTCGAGCAGCTTGTCGATCGGCGTCTCGGTGATCGCCACGTCCTCGAGCGAGAGCACTTTGCCAGGTACGCCCGTTACGTTGTCCGTCGGGTAGATCGTTGTCGGCTCCGGCATGTGCGGCTTGCTCTTGCTGAATGGCAGCGGCAGCTTCTCGTCCGGCAAAGGCGCCACACCCGCAGCACTCAGATCGGCGAGGTAGCTCGCAGGGATCGACGCATCCCGCTTGGCTCGGTGCGCCTTGCTCTTCGCAATGTAGTCTCCCATGGTTGTCGTGTCTTTCGTTCTTCGAGATAGTAGCTTATGGCAGTGTAGAAAGACAAGGAATCGAACGAGGCGGGTGGACGGCTATATATCCAGACACGGCGAGGCGGGAGATAAGGTACATGCAAGGCTGCCTTGACAGCTGGCCCGTGTACCACCACCACCGACCGAAAAGACTGTTCGCACTCCACCTCACCCGCCTGCCCGCTCGGGGAAAAGGTACTCGTCTGCTGGCGGCTACTGGTGCCGACGTCTTGTGTGCATGTTCGTGCACCACTCGCCATGCTGCCTGTCACGAGGTCGCGAGCATGCACACCAGCTCACGTGGCGTACAAAGCTGGAGCTCTGACCGATTTCCCCGCCCACCACGCTCTGGCTCACCAGCGTGTCGGCAATCGAGTGCGGTTACGTATCGAAGGCCTGCAAGCGAGCGAGTTGCAAGGGTGGAGGAGCCAGCTCGGCGCATTGGCCGGCAATCAATTTCTTCCTCCTTTCGCGCGTCGCTCCACCTCGGCGCTTATCTCGCACCCAGCCCCCAAGCCCAGCCTCGCTCCGACGACTCATGCACAATCGTGGCGGCTGGTCACCTGTTCAGTCAATGCCCCGCCTCGCTGCAAGGCCCGATTCCACCCGCTCACGATCGGATATCGGGCACGCTGGCGGGCGAATGAAGCCTGGGGCGATTCGGCATCTCTGAGTGATTCGCAACGAGATACGGGTGACAATATTGTACACGCTCGGTGCGCTTGGAGGTTGAATGGGCGAAGAAAGAGGAAAAGAGGCACAAAGGGGGAGAAAGTTGGCTGTGGAAGCCGGTCTCGACGGTCAAGAGCGAAAATGAGGATGAAGGAGGGCGGTTCGAAAGGCGTCGGCACTTTCCAAAGCGCCTCTTAGCAGCGAGCAGGAAGCGGAACCCCCGCTCGCATGCGGGCGGAATCGCTTAGTAGACAAAGGGGATGAAGGCGTACTTGACGATGGTGCAGTACTTGTCCCAGTCCTTGCCGTACTTGCGGCCGCATCGCTCAAAGTCGCGTCCACAGCGGTGGGTGAGCACGGCGAGGAAGAAGACCGAGTAGTAGTAGGGGATGATGGAGCGCGTGCCTGCGATGGCGCCCCACAGGAACGCCTGGGTCCAGTCGGCCGTGTAGTTGGGCTTGCGCAGGAACTGCCACCAGCCGTCGATGAGCAGCGCGTTGCCGTGCTCGGTCTGCAGGTAGCGCGGGTCCTTGAGCGTCGACCACGGCCACTGCGGGAACGTCCATCGGTGCTTGAACGTGCCCTGCAGCTGCATGCGGAAGCGCGACTTTTGCGCCATCGACGAGTCGAACACGTAGTGCGCGAAGAGCAGCAGCGAAAACATGAACACGTACGTGGGCGTGCTGAACTTGTAGTACGACGGCGGATGCGCAGCCATGTACACGATGCTGTAGCAGTACGTGAAGGGCACGCCGGCAAAGTTCCAAAAGATGACCATGAAGCCCCACTTCTCGTGGAACATGTCCCAGGTCTGCGGGATGCACTCCTCGCCCTTGCCGCACGCGTTGATGTAGAGGCCCGTGGCGAGCACCATGAACGCCATGTTGGGCGTCACGTAGCCGTACACCTCGTACTGCTTGCACGCGCCGGACACGCTGATGAGGAAGAGCAGCACCCACGGGATGCGCACCTCGGCCCACATCTTGAGGTCGACCGAGCCGATGCGCGGGTTGAGCGCGGCGCCCATGAAAAAGTCGTACGCAAAGTTGCCCGACATGCGGTGCGTCGTGTTGGTGGCGACGGCGTGGAAGTAGGTGGCGGCGCTGACGGCGTAGCCGGCGATCATGCTCACCGTCATGTACTCGCCAAAGTGCTCGATGATGGTGGTGAGGCGGTAGACGCCGCTCACGTGCAGCACGGCGCAGGTGACGAGCGTGGCGTAGAAGGACGACAGAGCGTTGCACTTGTACATGAGCGTCTTGTAGCCGAGCGAAGGCACGGGTAGACCCTCCTGCATGTATCCGGGCATGACGACGGCGAGGAAGAACTGGAAGACCATCAGGCCACCGTAGCCGGCAAAGGCGCGCTTGGTGGGGAAGGCATCGTCGCGGACGTGTGCGCCCATGCGCTGGAGGAAGGGCCAGACATCGTCGAGCGAGTTGGGCACGACGAGCTTGCCGTCGTAGAACCACAGGCAGATCCAGAGGTAGTACATGAGGAGCGGGAAGAGCGTCATCATGGCGGTGACACCCCAGGGCCCGCCAAACTCCCAGTCCGAGTGCTCGTCGAGCTTCTTGTCGGTCTCGCGGCCCTGCTCGGAGATGACGATGCCGGGGGTGTACTTTACGAGCGTCTGCTGCTTGCCGCCGCCCATGATCTGGTCGTCGTTGAGGTCGACGTGCAGATAGGAGTGCTTGGGCGTGTAGTTGGCCTTGTCGTCGTCGCTCTCGTCCTGGACGACGGTGCGCTTCTTGGGGGTGGACTTGGACTTGCCGTTGGGCGTGGCGCTCGCCTTGGCGGCGGCGCTCCGCGTGCGGAGACCAGCTGAGTCGGCCATGGTCGGATCAGCGGATTGTTTGGGCAAATCGGATGATGGGGGGCCAGAAGCAAAAGCGGATGTCGCCAAGCGCGTGCGTTCAAGGCCGGAGGCCAGCTCTCTCCGCCGGGGCGCGCCGCCAGCTGGAAGACACGTCTCTGTCCGGCGCACGATGCAGATCCATTCCGAGCGAGAGGCAGCAGCAGAGCGCAACAACACGCAGAGCCGCGACGCGAAGAAATGACTGAATGGCAGGCGGAGTTTTTTTGGCGCTGCAATTCATGTTCAAGTGTTGGGTTTTGCGAAAGCAGCAGCACACGGCCGACGGCTGAGAAGGAAAAATAGCGGGAAAGTCAAAGCTGAGCGGAGAGCTGCCTAGATAGCCGAGCCACAGAGGCACTTTTTTTTTCGGAAGCTGTCGCCCGCTGCGCGAAGAAGCGTGCGTGCGGGCAGGTCTGCAAAATGAGCTGATCATGACGCTTCTGCAGCCCCCAACGCGATTCGGGCGAGTGTCGGCCTGCACGTCAGGTGGCGGCTAAAGACGAAGGAAAGCAGCGCGTTCCGAGTGGCGGCAGCGGCACTTCGCACGAGCAGGCAGCTCGACATTAGCCACGGATCACAGTGGGCGAAAAAGATGGTGTCTGTCCGGCAGCGCTCTTGGACAGGCCGATTCGATGGCATGGGCGTGGCGATATGGAGCGCCGGAACGTAAAGGCAACAATGGCTTTGTGGATCGCCGTTCATGCCGCCATCCCCACCGCAGCACGTGTCCGAGATGAGATGAGGTGGTGGCAGACAAGACCCAAAGCATCTATATCGGGTCGACAGCGTACGCTATGAACACATCGGCGATGTGACATTGGGCGGTTATCACGGATCCCCTAGCCGTGCCCCTTGCACCTCAGCATCGCATACTATCGGTGGTCTTGGAATGCATGCAGAATCGGCGTTCTTGCCAAGAAGCTTTGAGGTTCTGTCGCGTCGGCTCGTCCGCTCGCTCTCCGGCGTTGGGCTGGCGTGGCGCCTCTTCATTCCGCGGGGCCTTTGTGGCACGCGGCCGTGGTGTGGACAAAGGGCGAGGCAGTGCCTGCGTGCAGGCAGAGTGTGGGTGCCAAGCACGCGGCACGGCCGCTCGATGAGATCCAATCTGGCAGGTGGGCGAGAAGACGGGATTTTTGGCCCAAATTCCAACTTGGCGGTGAGAGAGGTGCGGCGCCAGGGTGTGTTGCTCCCCAAGCGTGACGCTCTGCTGATCTCGACGCGCCTCGGCATGTTTTGCTGCGACTGGCGCCTCTCGCCTCCACTCGGGCGGCCTGCCGTGGGAAAGCGAGCTGCTCGACGACCTGCCGGGCCGGACCCTGGATGCCGAAAACAGGAGCGGCTGAGCATCTTGGCTCGTAATGTGAAGGGTCAAGCGTAAGCATCGGCACAGCCGGGAGCGGTTCTGGCCATCGTGTTGCCATCGCGTTGTCATCGCGATGCTCGCTCGAGTCGATAGCTGCATCGGTCACACCCCGAGGCTGGCTGTATGGCAGTGCCGGTATCATATCCACCAGTCTGGCAAGCCCACACGCTGAGAGCCAGGTGGAAAAATCCGAGGCAAAGGTGGGTGTAAGCCAATGCTGCGAGCTTTCTTCTGTCGATCTTGGCATTCCACTTTCGGCCACGCCGGCGACGGATTTCAAGTCAGCGCTCAAGATTGCGCTCGCCTTTCATTCTCCTCTCTCCCCCCTCTTCCTTGCCGCCGGATACCTTGGCTGCCGTGCATCATCCTCCTGCTTTCCATCATCTCTGCCCTGGTGCGCTCGCTCAGCCTCTCGTCCATTCCGGTCATTGCCAGCCAAACTTGCCGCTGCCGACTTGCACGTTCAGCCGGCATCATCCGCGCGCGCGCTTGGGGCCGCCCTCTCCACCGCGCTTGGCTGCTACAATAGCGCTGCCAAGCCTCTAGCTCGTTCCTTGCATCGCTCTCGAGCCTCGCCATCCTCGTGCCCAGCGCCTCTGCCTCCACGCCTCCGCCATCGCTTCCACGCTCAACTCGGCACCCTCGACAAGCTTACTTAGCAGCCTCGTCCTCGACGCACCTCCACAGCCCCGACCTTGACCACCACCACCACCATCCATCCAGGCGCATCCATCATCACCCGGCCATCATCGCAACAGCATCCTGCTTCACGGCCCGCCTGACGAACTCTCACGACTTTCTCGACCGCCATCCTGCTCCTCGGGCCCAAGCCGCTAGCTGGACGTCACTGCACAAGCCCATCGCCGACGAAGATCGATGCCTGTGGCAGCCGTAGGCCTTCTGGTCGTGCTCTCTGTGGAGAGTTTCAAGGCATCGTCGCGCTTCTTCCAGCGGCGCAAGTCGAAGAAGCATGGCTACTCGTCGCTGCGCACTGACAGCCTCGGGCGGCCCATCAGCGAGGAGGGCAAGCGGCTGAGCAAGAACGAGGCCAAGGCGCTCGTGGCGCACAACCGCGAGATTCAGCGCATCCGCACCGCCGAGCGCGAATGGCGCGCCAAGGGCGAGCGCCTCCCGGCGTATGCCGAGACGGACAACGACGCCATCATCCAGTCGCTTCGCCGACCCAGCACGGCTCCGGCATCGGGCAGGAGCTCGTCGTCGCCTTCAGTGCTCACAGTCGCAGCGGAGAGTCCGACCGAATCCGTAAGAGCGGGGCCGGTGCGACCAAGAGCCGTGAGCACAACGTCGGCGGGGCTGGAAACCCCGGCGAGCGGCGTGCGCGCCCAACGCGAGGCAAGGAGCGACGACCTCGCCGTATCCACGTTCGAATCGCTCGACGGCGGAGCGTTTTCGATCCGCCGAAGAAGGACGCAGACACTCGTGCTCCCCACCATTCCCAGCTCCGAATCGCCCGAGATCGAAGACATCTTTCAACACGACGGCCTCGATTGGAGACGCGCCACCTGGGAAGCTCCTCCGATCTACGACCAAGTGCGCGCCTAATCGACTCCTCCTTGCTTTCGCCTCGTTGCTTCCCTGTTCCATTTGTTGTTTTGTTCTTTGCATTGTACCTGTACTTTTAGTCGTTTTGAATTGCGCATCTCTTCTCACCTCTTCGTCGCCACTTTGAACGCAAGTGACACTGCACAGACTGAGTGTGTCACTCGACACAGAAATACGACCTCTCACAAGGGCTTGTCTGGTCCTACAGCGCAGAACTTGGGCGTGCCTGCGGTCATGAGGTCAATCCAAGAACGGATTGCTGGGCGAGGGTCACGACTGGCTTGATGGATGATGGATGATGGATCTCGGGAAAGAAATGCATTGTGAGGGGTTTTTGAAGATGGTGGATGATTTTTGGAGCGCCTCTTTGCCACGCTCATGGTGCGCCCAACTCTACGTAAGGCTGGATGTTGCGACCCGAGTGGGACGAAAAGGTGCCGAAGGATGGGTGTGTGTGTGTGGTGTTACAGCGGCTCCAGATGAACCGGTAGGATGTGCGTCATGCTTTTTGGAATCACGCACGGTCGGATGGTGGGACGCAGAAAAGGGCGAGAAGTCGACGAACACACTTATGCCTCGGCACGAGCGGCCTTGAGGGCCTTCTCGGTGCCGTGCTTGGCGTAGCGCTGGTTGCGGACGAACTTGGGGTCCACACCGCGCAGCGACGGGTACTTGTTGGTCTTGGGCTTCTTGATGCCGTTGCGGTGGGCCTTGCGCACCTGGTTGTGCTGGGACGAGTTCTTCGACTTAGCCCTGCACAGCGCAACCGTCGTATACAGCAGCAACAATTCGAAGTGATGATGCGGAGAGCAAGGTCGAGAGATGTGCAGAAGAGTCGGATGGTGGTGGATGAACGTAGTCGATAGCAGGTATGAGATGTCGTGATGCAGATTGGGCGGTCCATAAGTGAAAAGTCGATGAAGGCATTCAAAATGGTCGCAGAAGTCGTAGGTGGTGATGTGAATGGGCAAAGAGGATCACGATGGCAAAGGTCAGTATTCCGATGGCTGGGGTGTACATGCTATCCAACGATTGTCTGGTGCGAACCGCCACGATGCGCCATGCAAAGCAACCGTGCCATCCTTGCGGTGCGAATTCGAATGGAACGAAGGGATGGTGGAGGATGCGTTCTGCTTGGTGCAGCGAGTGGTGGCGTGGTCGTTGGTGCGAGCGTGATGACTTACATCTTGACGGTATATACGGGTTGGGTACAGAGACTTGGTGGTTAGGAAGGCGGAGCGCTGATGGCGCCGACGTTCTTGGGCGGGGCCTGACTCTGCACTCTGCACTTTGCCCTGCCAGAAGACTGGGCTGAGGGGGGGCGAAATTCTCAACTGGCCGGCTGACCGCATGGCTGCCCAGGTTGCCCACTGCCCAGCGCAATTGTGTGTGAGGCCTGCCGCCTTGGCCTGGCCTGGATCGCGGCGGCGGCAAGCAGGCAGACTCGCCAGTGTCAGCGCGAGGCACTCGTCGCATCCGAGAAAAAGGTGCTGCGGCAATTCCTTCGTTTGGATTTGAATGACAGATGATTTGTCATACGCATTTTCGTGTTCCGTTTGTCGGCTCTCGTCGCTCAAACATCTTTCTGCAAAATCCAAACGCCCGGCTCGACATCATCACGCAGGCCGCCAGCGCCAGTTGACCGGTCTCCTCTGCATGCCGCAACCACACGGCCCGGTCTACCGAGTTCAGAACAAGCTCGCCTAGCACTTTGCAAGACATTCGACCAAGGCTTGCATTGCAGCATGCACAGAGAAATCTCGGCCGCCGATCTTGGTTGGACCAACGTCGCCGGTGAGCCAAGCCAAGCCAGTCAAGAAACCGGCATGTGCGGTAAGAGTGGTGGTGGTGCTGTAATGGGATCCTTTTTTCCATTTCGGGCAATTTTTGGACCGTTGGCAACTCCGCTCGCTTCCCCACGTCGGTTTGCGGGGGTGCGATGAATTGTCGATCCTGCGTTCAAGCCGCTCCGCATCCGCTCAGCCCCTCTTCGGAGAGCCATGCCATCGGCTCTCTGCCCACCTCGCCTTGTGGGTTGTAAACGATCCTAGCCGAACCTAGCATCTCGCTAGCCGAACACGGCCACCCTCTCGCACTGCGGTCGTCGGTCCGAGTCGGCCCTTGCTGCTCCGAGCCGAACTGCTCTTCATGAGGCAAAGGCCGCCACTTGGATCTCGTATATAGGCAGTCCTTCGCCCCCCCCCGCCGTTTCCTAATCCATCAACCACAACCCAAAGCAAACACAGGAGCACCATGAGATTCGCATCGCTCGTGCCGTTTACGACGCTGGCGCTTTCCTTGGCGGGCGTGGCCTCCGCCGCCGCGCTGTACGACGGGAGCCAGCAGGCGTTCCTCAACACGCTCGCCTCGCGCAATGCCGACGGCCGCGCCACCGAAGACGCCTTCGGCGACCCCGAGTACACCTGGCCGGAGCCCGACCCGACGCTGCCGCTCGACTCGCTGCCGGACGCGCGCCCCGCCGTGCAAAAGCGTCGCTTCCGCTCGCGTCTGGTCGAGGCCGAGATCCGTCGCATCACCGACAAGATCGCCGACCCAGCGGTGAAGCGCATCTTCGCCAACGCCTATCCCAACACCCTCGATACCACCGTGGGCTGGACAGATCTGCAGCTCAACCACCCGGACTCGGCCACCGCCTTCCCGCGCGCGTTCATCATCACGGGCGACATCCTTGCCGCGTGGCTGCGCGACTCGTCCAACCAGATCTTCACCTACCTTCCGCTGCTCCAGTCTCCGCCCGAGCCCTATGCGGTCGGGGACAAGGACTGGCTCAAGCTGTATCGGCTTGCACTGGGGCTGCTGTACCAGCAGTCGCAGCAGGTGATCACCTATCCGCTCGCCAACTCGTTTGGTCCTCCCAAGTCGGCCACCATCACCAACAAGAAGAACCCGGCGGTGGGGGATGGAGACGATGCAGACTGGGTGCAACCGCCCGTACCCGGCAGCAAGGGACACTATTTGCCCCAGCCACCCAGCAACTACACCAAGGTCGAGGGGAATGACGGCGTGTATCTGTGGGAGACCAAGTGGGAGGTGGATTCGCTCGCGGCGCATCTGCGTCTGCCGTCGCTGCTGGCCGAGTATGCCAACCGCACCGACTTTTTGGACAACGAGACGTGGCAGAGGGGCGTGAGGATGGCCATTGATACGCTGCGTGCTCAGCAGCGCGGCTCGCGCGAGGAACACGCCGCGTACGAGGCGTCCAACTCCACCACGCTGCTGCCGCCCAACATCACCGAGCGCAGCGAGTGGGCACAGCGTTTCGGTAGCGTCCAGGGCGGCGTGTACCGCTTCCAGCGTGAGGCGCGCTCGGCCACCGAGACCAAAGCCGACTTGGGCTGGGGCGAACCAGCCCGTCGCAACGGCTTGGTCAAGAGTGGCTTCCGTCCCTCGGATGATGCCACTACACTGCCGCACCTCATCCCCTCGAATGCGCAGCTTGCCGTGGCGCTCGAAAAGCTCGCTCCGCTGCTGGACAATACGACGGCGATGAGCGATGTGGCTGCCAACGCGCGCTCGTTTGCGGCCGACATTCGCGCTGCCATTGCCCAGGAAGCCGTTCTTCCCAACCGCCTCGCCGGAGGCCAGGACATCTATGCGTTCGAAGTCGACGGCTACGGCAGCGCGTACTTCATGGACGATGCCAACGTGCCCTCCCTACTCAGTCTGCCTTACCTCGGCTACATCGATGCGAGCGATGAGACGTATCAGCGCACGCGCGCCTTCGTCCTGTCGCAGGATACCTCCAAGTGGTTCTACTCGGGTGCGGATTTCAGCGGCATTGGTGGCCCGCACGTCGGCACCAACTACGCCTGGCCAATGTCGCGCATCATGCAGATCCTCACCACCACCAACGCAGACGAACAGCTCCACGCCCTCAGCCTCCTCCGCAACACCACCGCCGGCACAGGCCTCATCCACGAATCCATCAACGTCCACAATGCCACCGACTTCACCCGACCCTGGTTCGGATGGGCAAACGGCCTCTTTGGCGAAGCCATCCGCCACATCGATCAGACGAACCCCGACATCCTCCAGCACACCTTCTAAACTCGCACCTCACACCCAATGCACAACGAAACATCGCTCTCTGAACACGATGCGATTGCATGCAAAGTCGGTGCGTTCTTGAGCCAAGTTTAACATGCATCGGATGTTGCTTGAACCGCCTCTGACGGCGGCGGCTTGGTCGCGCCTGCGGGCTCGTTGGGCGAAAGCAGAAACTCGAGCATTCGATCCGGTCCTTTGAGACGCATGAGCTCGCGAATCGCACGCAGCTGCTCGATCTCTCGGCGCTCGTCCGCATACTGGCCTGCAAGATGATGCGCAGTGCGCAGTGCCGCCTGGGCCTCTGAAACGCCCTTGGGCTCCGTCTTGCCACTGCGCGCTACACCGTTGCTCTTGAGAATGATCTTCTTAACGCCCGTTGCCGGCGCAGCTGGCGAGCCTACCTGCACTGCCGCTGGCACTGCACCAGCAGCCGCCCCCGTGCGGATCGGCGTGGGCGTGGCGCTCACCGCGGGCGAGGCGGAGCGCAGCTTTTTCGCCGGCGTATTCGGCGAACCGGCCATGGCCGACTCGGCTGCCACTGCCGCCTTGCGCTTGCTCAGACGCACCGGATCGCCGCTGCTCACGCCCGACGCCGCCTCCATCGCGATGCGCTTGATCAGCTCCTCCTCCGACAGCCCAGGCTGCACGGGCTGCACAGGATGCACGGGCTGGACCGTCTGAGCTGGCTGCGACACCTGAGCAGGCTTGACAGGCGTGGCCATCTCTCGCTGAGCCGCATTCTGCGCCGCAGTCTCAGCGCCTGCATCGCTCTCGCTATCCGACAGGCTCGACAGCGGCGAGTCCGAGGACTCTAAGCTCTCGGGCTCGTCGAGCGACGAGCGCAAGCTCGACTCGGGTACGTCGCTGTTGTCCAAATCGATGCCCAATGCCGTTGCCACCAATTGCCGAGTCCGTGATGGTCGGATCAAGCCGGGCGTCTCCTTCACAGCAAGCGCATCTCCCGCCAGCCTCGCCGACGCAATATCAGCGAGCGAGTCGAGACCCGATCGCTGGTAGTCGCGTCGGCCAAACGGCCTGTATCTCGACACGTCCTCGCCCGTCGGCGCCGCTCCGTCCTCTGCCGCAACCAGCCGGAACGGCGATCGATGCACCAGTTCGTCCGCCGCGAGGTAAAAGACGCTTCCGATCTTGCTCGCATCGTCGCCCCGAAGCTTGCTCCAAAAGTCGGTGCGGATGACCTTCTCCGGGAAACGGTAGCGGATTTTGGATGCAAGCTTGGACCCACCATCGGTGAGTGTGGGTGAGTCCACCACGCCCGGGATCGGGACGAGTGGGACCTCCTTGATGCCTGTCTGCAGGCTGCCGGTGATGCCGTTGGCACCCATGAGCAATTCCATCGGGTCAGGAATGATGTCGATATCGCCGTTGTTGAGCACCCGCGTGCGGAAGTGCTTGCCTGGGCCGATGGTCTCGACCGACGGCAGAGGCAGGTCGAGCGTCTTGGGCACAGCTGCGCCGATGCGCGCAACCCTTCGGCGCTCGCCGACGTGGTCGCTGTGTGCGGGGCACATCCACTTGCGCAGATTGCTCGGCATGCCCAGCATGGGCGGATCGACGCAATCGATATGCCAGTGAAGCGAGCAGAAGTCGCAGCTCACGATCCTGCGCCAACCTGTCCCCTCGCGAATGGTGTGGTCCGCCGGTGTCGCCGCCGAGGCGCTGCCGGCTTCCGAGGCTGCGCGGCTGTGTCGCTCTGGGGAGCCGACTGGTGCGGTATGCTGATCGGATCCTGCGGGCAACGCTGTTCCGCCACATCGGTAGCAGAGCACGGCGTCGCCGTTCTTGTCCTTGAGTCTGTACGGGTCGCGAGGCTCGATCTGCCCATGCCGATTTGGCTTGACCTGGCGGACCATAGCTGCGTTGACGAAATCGCCGTCTTTGGCGGTAGCGACATCCTTGAAGTAAGTGCGCACGTCCGCCGGAAGCTGGAAGCTTTTTGGATTTTGCTGCGACAGAATCGGGAGCAAGTAGCCAAAGGGCCCCAAACCTTTGGGTCGGGACACCGCCTTGGGCTTGCGTTCGGCGACGCACACATTGCAGAACCACATCTCGTCCATGTTGAGATCGGAGCCCGCGCCAGGTTCGCCCGCCTTGGCTTTGCCCTTTTGGACCGGATTTGCCTTGGCCGGGCCCAGCACTTGCGCCGCATTCGAAGGCGGCATCTCGTCAATGTCAAGAGGCGGGTTCATGCAGAAGAAGTGGAAGCTGCGCGGGCAACCGTCGCAGCAGACAAAGCGGCCGTGACCTAGGCAGACCTCGCAAAAGTCGTTATTGGCACTGCCCTTGTCCTCGAGCCTGGGAGCCAATTTGGCATCCGTAGAGCTGGAGCTCGAGGCCGTTGGCACGACAGCACCTGCAATGCCTGGAATGACACGGAGACGTCCTTCCGGGGTGTGCATCATACCCGGCGGCGGCTCAACCAAGGATGGAGGCACGATCGTGCGTGCTGCAGTGTTACTCTTCTTGCTCGCCCCTGCCGAAGGCACGGCGGGAGCTACAGACGCTGCGCCAGCGCTAGCCGCCGAAGGCGACCTGCGAGCACGCGCGGCTTCCTGTGCTAGCAGTTCGCGATGCTTTTTCAGGCCCATGGGATCTGCGTATGCGCTAGTGATGGACTGCGATGCTTGTAAGGAAGCGCCGCGGTTGGACGGCGTGCGACGAAGGGCGGCGGACGGAGATGCGTCGGCACTCTCCAGTGTACCTGCGGACAGTGTCGGTGGAGCCGCTTGTTGTGGCACTGACGATGAGGGCGCTATACTCGCGGTCTCCGATCCGATCGCGGTCGATGGCTGTGCGGGCTCGCCGATTTCGGTAGCGGCACCTTGGGCACCGGTCTCCGGAACTGCTGATGCTTCCCGGCTAGTTTCTCGTGTGGCCGTCGCAGTCGCAACAGAGTCGGCGTCCGTCAACACGTCGGCGATGAGCGGATCGATGGCTTTGTTGTCTGTCAAAGGTGCCGATTCCGCTTTGCCGCTCGATTGCTGGCCAGCCGCCGCAGCATCGTCTGCCGTGGATTCTCTGCGAGAACCAAAAGGGATGTCAAGCGAGGAAAGTGGTCAGTACTCGGCTTCCGATAGATCGACTGAAAGCGCGCCGACGAGGTCGACGCTACGGATGGGGACGGTGGCAACGCAATATTCGGCCGATGCTTTGTGGTCATGTGCTTCGTGCGCAGCACCGCAAAAATTGGCCAAATTTGGCCCCACCTGTGATTTCCGCCCCTCTGATCTGTGCGACCTGCTGACCCGGCGCGCGATCAGAGGAGTAGCGCGCGTGCTCGACCTGCTCCATCGTGGCTGTGGCTATGAGATGACATCCGCCGAGTCGCAATCGCTTGCCGCCAAGCGATCCCACTTCTCGGCCTACAAGCGCCAACGCTGCCTGGCTTGCGCCTGCGCTCTTGGCGTTGACAGCGCCTTTCTCCATGTCACCAGCCTTGGCCCAAAATCGCCTGTCGCTGAGAGCCGCGTTTTCCCATGCCGAAATGAAGTCGTGGGGGTTCCGAGATCGGGGGTTTGGAGTATTGTGTACGTACCTTTGAGCCGCGAGCGTAGTCTGAGCGCTTTTCGAGGCCGGGATAGCGCTCTTCTGGACTGTCTGGAAGAGTGCATATGGCATCTTGCCATTGAGATTGGTGGGAGTATCGAAATCGGCAGGCGCTTGAATTGGGTCGGATCTGCGAGCCGCTCCGTTGGCCGCCGGAGCTGGGCCTCTACGTTTGCTGGCAGTTGGAGGTGCAATGATTTCCGTCGCGACAGGATTCAGTGGCGGATAGGCTGGATCTGTAGGCAATGACGGCGGAGGGCCCATGATCTCGGTGCGCAACGCCTCTGGTCCGGATGCTGCCGGTGCATTTTGGCTGGCAAGCGCTAGTGCCGCCATGGGTGGAGGCTGGACGGCAGCGACGGAGATCTCGGGCGAGTTCGTAGACGGAGCAGGCGGCGGGCTGCTGGAGGCGCTAACGAGCCCGCCCGCTAAGGCGCCGTCGTGAAGAAAGCCTTCTGTTGGCGGAGCAGTCAGCGTGGCGGCTGTTGCTTCCATGTCGACGTCCGGCTCAGTCTTGACGCCAGACGACTGCTGAGTGGCGGCATCCTGGACTGCATCGGTCTGCATAGAAGTGCCGGCCGTCGGTGGATCTGTGACTGGAGCTTGTTGCATGTCTGCAGGCAATGAGGAAGGCGCGGACTTGCGTTGTGCCTCGCGAAGTGCTGCTGCGCGCCCTTTCAAGGCGAGCTCAAGCCAGTTGTGCGGGATAGGAGGAGCGGTCGTCGAGACGAGGCGCGTCGGCGTCATGGGAGTCGAAGGGCTGTCAGCGAGCACGCCCTGTTGGAGGCGAGGATGGTTTCCGTTTTCCGTGCTCTCGCGAGGTATGGTTGGCTGCGCAGAACTCTTCGTTGTGGACTTGTCGCCTGCTTCGCCGGAACGAGCTTGATCCGGGCTCGTGCGTCCCAGTGTATCGCGCGGAGAAGGTACGGGAGACATGCAGCTCTCGCTGTCCTGTGCTGGCCGGCCGCTGGGCGGAACGACGATCGGGACGATACGATGGAATGCGTCGCAATGAGGTAGACCGAGCTGCCTCAGTTGCGGCTAGAGCGTGCTTGCGGTCTTCCTGTCCGTCCGATCCAGAGTCCAGAGACGGATCAAATCCGGTTGCGCTACACCGTTCCAGTCGGTCCTGTAGTCTGTGGGAAGCTCGCGTCAAGCTGAAAGAGGAGGCGTTGGGACCTGGGCGTGGATCATGCGGCGAGGTTTGAGTTGCGGTCCGTGTCCATTCGTAGTCGATCCTGGATCCTCGTGGCAGTGAGAGCTCGATGCCCTGTGAGTGTCGCGTGTGGTTAGCAGGCGCGGACGCGACGACTGGCGCAGACGTCACGCCGAGTGAATGCCAGCTTGTTGGGACGCGCTGAGGTTGGAGTTGGTGGCAGAGGCAAGCCGTTGCTCGCTTGGCTCGGTCGCGTCTGGCTTTGGGGCCAATTTTTGGACGCCCGATGGCGAAGCCGTTCCGTCCGGGCGCGCCGCCTCGCCCACCTCGCGCTGCATCGCCTCAGCAGCCCGACGCGAAAATGAGCAGCAGTCGCCAACCTCCAACAGCAACCTCCGCCTGCTCCCGCCCTACCGCGCGCACTTGGCGACGCGAATCTCGAGACCAAGCCGGCCCACATCGGTGCTACGAGCCGATGGTCGTCGTTGCTCAGATCGGTCCATATCTACGCACACTCTAATGTACATGCATTATCGCCGTGAATCGCATGTAGACGTGGTTTCAAGAGACATGTTCCCCGTCGTGTCGATTGCAAGATGAGGTGCTATGGCTGGTCCATCTAGAGTGACTGTCTGGATGCGCGAATCGTTCAGCGGACTGGAAGCGGCGAGAAGCGCTCCAGCCTCCTGTTGCGAGGGACCGAAAGGATGGGTCTGACTTCCCCGATGGCCGAAGCGGGCTCCGCTCGTGCAAGCACAATGCATTGAACGCTGGGAGCTTCGACGTGCGAGCCGGGTGCCGATGCAGCCAGCGCTAGCAACAGCGGCGAAAGGGCAAGACGCACACGATGCAGTCTGGTATCCGCGCCGATGAGCTCAGCCAATGCGCCCGGCTCGCTTTGGAGCAGCGATGTGAGAGAAGCTGCATCCGCGGCGGCTTGGCCATCGACGGCAGTGGAGGCTGCTGCGCGCGAGGCGGCCACGCCTTCTAGGATCTGCCGTACAAGACCGGCGAGCTCGGGACCTGCGAGTGCCGGCCCCAGCTCAACAATCGACTCGGAAAGCAGCGCGAGGATCTGCAGCGTCGACGTCGAGACGGACGATCCGGCGGGATCCCTGCGCTCGCCGGTCCCGCTAGGGCGTGTGAATACGCCCGATATGCTTCGCTCCAACCGAGGCCTCCAATGTCGCTCCAGCATCTTCTTAACAGGCGGCCGGAGAGCTCTCGATGCGCTCTGATCTTCCTGCCCATGAGCGGTGGCCAAAACAGCGATAAGCTGCATCGCCAGCGACGTGGCTCGCGGTAGTCCACCGTCTGCGCCAATCGCCGTGCCGTCGGATCGGTCCAGTAGGTCCGAAAGGCCAGTCTCGATTTCGCTTCGCGAAGATGCAATGAGCGAGTCAAAGCTCGTCTGGATCGCCGCGCTCGCATCTGCAAATCGCTCGTCGCCTTCGAGCTCAGCGCGGTAGATCTTGAGCTCGCGCGACATGGCAGACAGCGGCGTCTCGTACAGGCTCGCTAGGCTTTCTACCTTGTTGGATCGGCCGCGCAGGTCGTCTTGCAACGCCGAGATGTATGAGCGGCTCGACCGGATCGGATTCGAAAGATCGTCCGCATACGAAGGAGCTGTCCGCATCGAGGATGCATTCTGTGCTTCGACCGGATGGAAAAGAGCGTCCAGAGGCATCTCGACAGCGGCAGCCCCTGCATCGGCTCCGTTCCCAAGGCTTGCAGCGTCCCGTTCCAGAGAGGTGATTGTCGCCTTGGCCTCTTTCAGCAGCGCCTGAGCAGCGTCCAAGAGTTTCTGTTGCAGCAGCTGCAGCAGTCGCGCCTGCAAGGCGGAAGCAATGTCCGCTTCGAACTTCTGCATCTCGGTGTGCACCTTTGCGAGCGCAGAATGGCGTGCCTTGTCTTCTGTGTCGTCGGTCACTCCGAGCTTGCGCGATACGATGCGGCGTGCGCGTTGCATGGCGAGGCGGAGCGACCTACGCAGCTTGGCTAGCTCGTGGACATCAGAGAGCTCTGCCAGTAATGACGGTAAGCTATCCGTACCTGCGTGGTTCGATGCGCCGACGATGATTTCGCGAGCCTTGGCAGACCAAGAGGACAGATCGTCCATCACTTGGCTGGGAGCGGGCATGCCGCGGGAAGCGAGATCGAGAGGAGGCACGTACTCCTGCAGAGACACCGGCAGGAGCCGGACGAGGACACGCGAGCTGGGCAAAGTCTGGATCAGATCCGCAGTAGAGATCCTGACAGCACGTCGCTGCGGTGGATGCGGCAAATCGACACCTTCGTCCGAATCGAGCTTTGGATCTGTCGAAGACGGCGGAAGGCCGTGGCTCGATTTGCGACGCAATGCGCGCATGGCGGCCGCATTCTGGCGTGGCGTCCGATCATCGGCTGGCTGAGGCATCAGAGAAGCACGTTCGCTTGTCGGAGACGAGACGAGCTTGGCGGTCGTTGCAGGATGATCGGTGCTCGTGATGGTATTGAGCAAGCTGAACAGCCAAGGCCTGGCTTCTGACGAATCTTCTGCGCGCGCAGGGAGCACAAAGAGCTGAAGGACGTGTTGCAACGATCGCGCGAACAGCGTTGTGAGCTGTGCGATCGTGTGAGATGCCTTGGCCACTCTGTCGCCCGCAAGCTCGCTTTCTGTGGCGTCCGGGCTCCGTGTCGACGCTGCGGCTGCGCGGCGGTCATCTTTGTTGTGGGAGGAGGGCTTTCTCCCCTTGCGTCGGCGTTGGAGTAAGCGGCGCATCGCCGTCAGTCGGTGCGACAGCAGGAGCTGCAAAGCCTGTTCGAGGCGAGTCCCGTCGATCAGGACCAGCGCAGCCAGCTGATCAGCGACAGCCGCAGACTCGATATCGATGTCCGAGAGGAGGAGGAGGGCTCGATGGATGATCTGCTTGCGCATCGGCTGCATGCTCTGCCACTGCTTCTCGATGAAAGGGAAGGTTTCCCTGACATTGACCTTGAGCATCGTCACGGCTTCCGATGTCGAGGTTATTCCCATTTCTGCATCGGTCAAGAGAGCCGAATGAGAATGTTGAGGGGAAGAGGCGTCGGTAAGATCGTTCCAGGTGGCCTTTGCCAGCAAGAATGCCCAGGAGGCTTGAAGAGTCTTGCCCTTCTCGATTGACTTCCAGACGTACTCTGGCACGTCCATGATGAGACGCAAGGAAGCACCGAGCACGTACACTGCTTCTTGGTGCAGATCGGACGCCTCTGTATCTTGAAGCCCGGATGGAGGTTGTGTGGGCAGAAAGCTCCTGCGCCTGGCAAGCTTGCTTGGCATGTCGTGCTTCTCCTTGGCATCCGCCGCAAGCTGGAAGCCGCTCGAGAGGTGCTCGAGTCGCTCTGTAAGTTGCTGCGAGCTTCTGACCATGTCGATGATCGTGTTGGCTGTACCGAGCAAGTCCTGGTAGCGTTGGCCAACGAGTGCCCGGAGCTCTTGTTGTTTTGACACGGCGATGCTCCTTACGGCACGCTCGTACGCCTCGACCTCCTTGACCGGGAGCGAGCGGAAGAGCGTGTCCGGCTCCGTGCCGAATGGATCCAAGCCGGTTGTCTGGAAGATGCGGGTGGCCTCGTTCGGCACGGACGGACGGCGAGGAAGTGTGTCCATGGAGAAAGGAGCATCGGTGCTGGTGATGCCGGAGCTGGATGTGAGCGAGGCATTGGTACGAGCATGCCTTGCACGTCCGTGCCTCGATGGTGTGTTGGGCGAAGATGCTGCTCCCGCTGTTGACTCGACGCCGTTTGCAGGGCCAGAGGCGCCCTGCTGAGTGCCGACGGCCATCAATGCCTGCACCACGCTTGCGCTTCCCTGGACCGAGTGCGGGGGTTGGTCGGTCCAAGTTGATCAGGCAGCGCACCTACGCCCGCCTCCTTCACGAGAGTTGTGGCTGTCTGGTGTGTGTCGTGGGTAGGAGGAGTGTGGATGATGGTGGAAGGTTGGGAGCGAATGTGGAATTGACCTTGTGCTTATCCGTGCGTGACGGACTCGACTCGGTTCCGAGCGGGGTGGACCCTGGAACTTAGTGCAGTTGGAAAGACGCGTCGAAGAGGAGAAGTGCATCTTTCTGCCGCTGCTGCCTCCACTTTCGGCTTGTCGACTTTGGCCCTCCTGCCACGCAACCATCAGTCAATCGAGGCAGACAGCACCGCCATGTCGACGCCAGGCAAGGACGCGGGCGCCGTGGTGATGGAGACGTCCATGGGCAGGATCGTGTTCGAGCTCTACTGGAAGCACGCGCCCAAGACGTGCGCCAACTTCTACCAGCTGGCCAAGCAGGGTTTTTACGACGGCATCATCTTCCACCGTGTCATCAGCGACTTTATGATCCAGACGGGCGACCCCACCGGTACGGGCTCGGGTGGTGCATCGATCTACGGTGGCGCCTTTGAGGACGAGCTGCATCACGAGCTTCGCTTCGTCGGTGCGGGCATCCTCGCCATGGCCAATGCAGGTCCCAACACCAACCGAAGCCAGTTCTTCGTCACGCTGGCGCCGACGCCGTTCCTCGATGGCAAGCACACCATCTTTGGTCGCGTCGCCGAGGGTTTGCAGGCAGTTCGAGAGATCGGAGTGGCAGAGACAAAGGACGACAGGTACGTTTGCAGTCCAACTAAATCACGACGACATGGCGCTTTCTGACCTTGCTCTCTCTGCGATATCCTCTATTCCTTTGAAACGTAGGCCCGTCGAGGAGATCAAGATCGTCAGAGCAACAGTCGCCTGAACCGATGCAGCGAGCGTTACCAGGCATTGCAAGCTTTCAACCGCATTCACGAATTGGCAAGCAATATCCCGCCTGAATTTTGGGCTCGATTTATCGCCAATAAAACCACACCCGCCTGAATTCGCTCGAACGATGCTGGACCGAGCTCGCAATGAAGCACGCGCGAACGAGCATCTTTCGTCACGATCATCGGCACAGAGGCACATTGCCGCTCGCCTAGCCGCACCGAAGCACAATCTACGACTGGACCCCTCATTACATCAGGCACGCGCAAAAACACACAAGAGGACAGGTTGGTATGATGCCTGAGGTTGCGAAGCTGGCGGAGCCCTGTTCTGACCGCCGAGCCCATGGTGGTAGTAGTACAAGGATGAACAACAAGAAAAAGAAAAACGAGAAGACAAGACTAGGGGTAGAAGAGGGATAGCGAAGAGTAAAGATAGCAAATTGCCGTCTCTATCCAGACAATCCTAGACGACGGCCGAAGGTATTCGGACCAAGGTCGATGGGAGGAGGTGGTGATACAGTGGGAAGGCGGGACACGAGAAGCGCGACGGCACGAAGCCGAGACGCTTAGATGTCCTGCGAGCCACCAGCCTTCTTCGGCTTGCCCGACTTGGCGGGGAGGAGCTCCGACTGGATGAAGGGGAGGACACCACCCTGGGAGATGGTGACGCCGCCAAGGAGCTTGTTGAGCTCCTCGTCGTTGCGGATGGCGAGCTGAAGGTGACGGGGAATGATACGCGACTTCTTGTTGTCACGGGCAGCGTTACCAGCGAGCTCGAGGATCTCGGCAGCCAGGTACTCGAGAACGGCGGCGAGGTAGACTGTTGGAATGCGAAGTAGTACAAAGCGGAGGCAGAAACGTCAGCGAGATGATTCGGGAGAGAACGACAAAAGAGACTTGAAAGAGTACGTACCAGGTGCACCGGCACCGACACGCTGAGCGTAGTTGCCCTTGCGCAAGAGACGGTGGATACGGCCGACGGGGAACTGAAGACCGGCCTTGGCCGAACGCGACTGGGCCTTGGTCGAGGCGTCACCAGCCTTGCCACCAGACTTGCCACCGGAAGACATTGTTGCTAAGTTTGTATGAGGGGGGGGTTGAGAAAGGGTGGTTGGGTTGCGTTGGTCGTAAGACTTGAGGACGGAATGCGGGATGGGAAGAGAGAGAAAAGGAGAGGGGAGCCCGGGAGAGGATGCCGAATCTGGCAGAGGGTTATATCGTCTTTCGGGGGTCGGGACGCGCAGGCAGTCGTGGCCAGCCTGCAGCCCGCACTACGCAAAGCCGCACCAGCGGCTAAGCCAGCCAGGTGTTGGGAAAGCCCAGTGCGCGACGCGACTGGTGCTGCACCCGCACCAGCCATCTGCACCTGCACCGACGCAACAGAGCGCGGTGTGTTGCAGTGCGAAATCCTCGGTCGCTGTTGCCGCACCCTTGATTTTTCGAAAATCGGACATTTGACGCTCAGTCTGCTGAACCCAGTCGCGTCTGTCGAGCACTGGAGCGCTCGGATGCCGTCATGCGCAGCTGATCCTTGCCCGGAGTATTCTGTCGAAATTCCATATTCTTGCAATTAGAGGCTTCGAAGGATGCGACACACCTAGCACTAATGCGGATGGGGCCTTCGAAGGCTCGAATGTTTTCGATGGGTGCATACATCGACATCACTCGGCGGCAGAATCCAGGTGCTCCTCCCCTATCCAGCTCTGCCCCACTAACATACGTTCGTCTCTGCTCGTTAACGGAGCTATGTCGTTCTAGGCAGCTATCGTGTTCCGAGACTTCATTGGCAGTATTCCCCAACTTGTTGATAGGGCAGAGAATCAGGCGGTCTTCAGCGCCAGGCAAGAATCAGGGGAAGAATCGGGGAGGGGCGGATTTGTGGGGGCTTGATAGCACGCCAAAACGTGACAGAGATTGGGGGGCGACGAAGGCCCAAATGCAAGAATCATGGAATGAGTTGGTTGAACCCGCAGCGCACACCGATGGTGTGGGACAATCAAAGTCGGACGCCTTTGGAGCCTTCGAAGGCCCCATTGATTTAGCGTTCGTCAATCTCATTCGGGCCCAAGCCACGACGCTGTGGACTGTGCGTGTGGCTGTTGCGTTTGGCCTAGTGGAGGGCGACCCGTGATTTTTCGAAAATAGCGGAATTTCCGCTAGCTGCACGAAGATCATGCGCTTGGTTTCTCGCTGCGGAGACCGACGCGTTGGCGCGCTCGACAGGCATACAACGGTGCGGCTCGTGGATTTTCCCACTCGACCAGCAGCAGCTCAGCAGCGGCGCGTCAACGCCGAGTGCACGCGCCTTGGCTTCAGGCGCTTCGACGGCCCTACAGACGCGCTCTCTCTCTCGTTCAACAGAGGCGGTTGCGCAGCACTTCTCGCTGCACTCGCGCGCCGTGTCCGTTGCGCCTGCAGGGACCCGCACTCAGATTGGCTTAAAACCCAACCCCTCCAACGCCGTGTCAGCCTCGGACCCTCTTCTTTCTTTCCTCTCCTCCAKCCGTCAAGCCTTTCAACGCTACATCCCAACCTTCCCACCTCAACTCAACCAACCCTCTTACTTCGTCAACATGCCCCCCAAGCCCGCCGAGAAGAAGCCCTCCTCCACCGCCGGCAAGGCCCCCGCCTCGTCCGCTGGCAAGGCCCCCTCCGAGGCCGCCAAGAAGACCTCCAAGGCTCCCGCCAAGTCTGGCGAGAAGAAGAAGGCCACCAAGGTCCGCAAGGAGACCTACTCGACCTACATCTACCGTGTCCTTAAGCAGGTCCACCCCGACACCGGTATCTCGAACAAGGCCATGGCCATTCTCAACTCGTTCGTCCAGGACATCTTCGAGCGCATCGCCACCGAGGCCTCCAAGCTCGCTTCGTACAACAAGAAGTCGACCATCTCGTCGCGAGAGATCCAGACCGCTGTTCGCCTCATCCTTCCCGGTGAGCTGTCCAAGCACGCCATCTCCGAAGGCACCAAGTCGGTCACCAAGTTCTCGTCCTCCAAGTAAGCGCTAGCTACTCGACGATCCTCTTGTTACGACCTCCTTCTCGCCATGTAGTACCCTTCTTCGGCCCGACGCGTTCGGTGCGACGCGTCGTGGAGTCCTCCCCTTGCAACTGGTCTCGCGCCTTTTGCACCGCCCAACCTCCGCGACGGGTGGATGCGAGCGTGTCTCGGCGTCCGCGCGTCGTCGACCGGCTTTCTTCTTTTCTTGGTCGCCTTTGTATCTCTTCTGTACTTTTACCGCCAGCGCTAGCATCTCCTCCCCCTCAGATATATCCAGCAGCAATCTGAGCATATCGGTCTCAAAACTATCTCTTTTTCGCGTGTGCTTCTGTGTGCTTATTGTTGTTGCGGTGGTTGGATGACGCGTTGGTTTGGAGGCGGGCTGCTCAAGGCTGCGAGTGCCGGTCGAGCTTGACGTCGTGTCGCGGCTGAAGTGACGCGTGGGCTCGTGGTGCGAGTGTGCGAGTGTTATGTTGGCTTGGACAGTGATGACGTTGACAGTGGATATCGGGATGGATTCAGATCGTTCAAAAGATGCGGATACAAGTACAGAGTATGATGGATGCGAGGCGACGAAGGCAGAGTAGTGTGGGGATTCAGCCACGGAGGAGACCGTCGAGGGCGGCCTGCATGCGCTGCATATCTTGCTGTTCCTGTTCCTCGTTGATCTTTGGATCTTCGACGGCGAGGTCGGGAAGATGGTCGGTGGTGGAGGCTTGACCGAGCTTGCCGTCGGTGAGTTGGTAGAGCACCTTGTCGACCTCTCCTTGCGCCTCCTCTTCCATTTCGTCTTCGTCCTCGCCAAGCACGCCCGAATCCATTGCGTCTTCCATGAGCTCCTCCATAATCCCCGCCTATCCAAACACAGTGATCGTTAGCGATGTCATATGGAGGTGAGGTGAGGGGTTTGGGACGTACCTTTGTCATTTCGGCGCTCATCTGACGCATGACTGCCGATACCTCGGGCAACTTGACGAGCTGGTTCGAAAGCTTCATAATCTCGGTCGACTTTTGCATGCTACCCGTCACCTTGTACATGGCTGTATCGATGTCGTAGTGTCAGCATGCTTTGGCGTGTGGATGGGCGGTGAGGGTGATGGCACTTACCGAGTTGATGTTGTAGCTGCATGTGGATGCTGTTGAGTCTCGCCTTGGAGACTGCGAGTCGGTTCTTCTGTTTCGAGGCACGCACGACTTCTCGCGCGAGGATCTTTGCATTCTTCACATCGCCCTTCTTGGCGAGCTTCTTGATCTCCGCTTTTGTCTTGGTGGAGCCTTGGTCGATCTGACGCATCTCGCGGTCGAGCGCGCGCTGTTCGGACCTCAACTGCGACTGCACCTTCTTCACCCGCTCTGCGTCGATGAAAGAAGACAGGGGTGGTGAGTGTTTGTCAGCCGTGTGTGTTGCTGGTGTGATGCGAGCGGTTCGTGCTACGTACCTTCTTGTGATGGTCCAAAGATGAACTTGGACACGGCCTGCATGGCGAACACCTGTCTGCCTGGTGCCTCTGTCTGTGACCCTTCGATAAGCTGTGCTGTGTGTGTGGATGGCGGAGGCTCTCCTGGTGCGTGAGGTGGGTGCTGTCGATGGGCTGGATGTGATGGTCGACGGAGGCTGTATCGCGGATGGTCGAGAGGTTGGAGCCGAGGTGGAGTTCAGGGCCCCGCGTAATCGGGTCGGCGGTGCATGCACGGCTCCGGAATCGGAATTCGGGTGTCGGGCACCTGGGCGTGTTGGTGCCTTTTCGCGCGAGATCGTGCATCTTTCGACGGCTGTTTGATCCTCCTCGGATTGCAGGTGGACGAACTTGCTCGAGAGTGCGTGCTGTGTATTGAGATGGTTTCCATGCTCTGTATATACGGTCGTGAGCGTTGTATGTAGTTTTGGTCACGACTGAGAAGGTGATTGGTGGCCGATTCCAACTCAATCCGTTCTTCCGTCCTGAAAGTGGAAACGCCAAAAAAGGGGGACGCGAAATGACGGCTGAAAAAAGGCATGCGAGGCACAGGGAGCAGACGACGGCCTAACAGACATGACTTCAGTCCATCGTCCTTCGTCGTCCTCCTCGCTCCCGATTCGCATCATCGACACCGTCAACGAGCACGATCCAGCTCACAAAGACGAAAAGCCTACAGGACCCGGAAGAGCGGGATGCATAGCGACTGAGCAACCGGGAAAAAAGAGGGCTACTAATGCAAGCCACGGGGGTGGCGTGGCATTACTGGCGCCGCACCATGTACGCCCGATGGAAAGCTTGCAACGGCTCGGGGTTGCTACGTCACACCGGCAACTGACGGGTCGAGGGCAGCAATGCCACTCAAGGCTCACTGGGACGATGCGATTGCATGCGATTGGGCCTTCCGAATGATGCTCGGGCGAGTCGGCGGACTGGAGTTGCGAGCAGAGTGCGACAAGTGGGGCTTGGCGAGCCAGGCGCGACGCGTCCGAGGAAAGCTGCAACTGTGACTGCCGTTGGATCGACGCGCAAGAGAGAGATCTAAGTGAGACCTGCAAGCAACACTTGCGAGCGGAGCTGGCGCGAGGAAAAGTCGGCGCGTCGGGGTGAAATGCTTCCTCCTTCCTTTTCGGACGTTTTGGATTCGGGTTCAGACGATTTTCCTTGCAGCGAGCCTCTGACAGGATCGACGGCGGCTCGCGCGGGCACGTGTGGACTCGTCGGGCAGGTAACAATACGGCTTCTCCGAACGCAAAGTGCACGACTCGGAGACCGGCCGTACCGCCAGCGGATCACTGCTCGACACCCGCCCAGCTCCTCAGGACATGACGAGGTTCAGACGCTGCAGCCGAGATCAGCCTGATGGCACACACAAAGGCAGAGAAAAGCAGGGTTGGCGTGCAGGAGTCTACCCACGGGGACCCTGCCTCGACCCGCACCTCGGCTATGACTTCGTAGCTCGACCGAGAGCGCTGGCGGCACCGGTCAAATGGAGCGCAAAGGTGGACTGGCGACGGCGTCCGCTGGCGAACGGGCCGTCCCGGCCCGGAAACGAGTCTAGCAGCGAACCTTCTTCTGCGTCTTTCGGTCACCGCCGTCGGGCGGCGAGCCGCCGCACAGCTTCCACACACTCTCGACCCCCAATGAACGCCATGGCGATATGGACAAGGGCTCGAGTGTCATCCAAGTCGACCCGATGAAGCAAGTCGGATGCGGTTGCTGCGGTGCGCATTTTGCCTAGCGTGGGACGGAGGAGGTGCTGCACGATGCCAATCACCCCATCTGCGGCCTGCATACTGTCAGCAGCAATGGCAGCTCCGAGGCATCACGCTACAGTCACTTAGGGTGAAGGGCAAAATTGGGCCAACGCCCGCGTGTCGAGTCGCGTGTGGGGCACTCGAGCTGTGCCCACCGTGATTGCAGGGTGTTTCAGGAAATTTGGCATTCCTCGACCTTGCGTGCCTCTCTGCTCGGCTGGCATGGTGCTGCGTTGCCCCTCGCTCTGGCGGTGTGGCATTTTCGCGTCCCGATGTGGGAGTGCGGCGGCCCTTGCCTGTCTCGCCTGCTGCACTGTTACTCGGCTGGCTGAGCGTTCATGCGCCCGCTCCCTTCAGTAGCGCGCCTCCTTGCCACTTCTAGCCAACGGGCGAGTGTGACGGGCTGATACCTCGCCTCGCCTCGCCTGGAAGGCTGGCAAAGCAGGAAAAGCAGGAAAAAGCAGAGTCGAGTGCTTCTCCGACGCACGGCTGCAATCGACGGTCGTGCCTGCTTCCTGCTTCCTGTCGGCTGTTGGCTCCTACATACAGCGTACATGCTTGCCCCGAGCATGCTGCTGCTGCAGCGCAGCCGTCGACGTGATTGCCTTTTTTGCCCTTTTCCTGCTGCTGAGCCCGACCGCCCCGCATCCCTCTGCCCCTCACTCTCCCTCTGCGACTGCCATGCTCGCTTGCTTGTTTGGGAGGCCCCCCTTGCCGCCGATCCTTGCCCCTTCACCACCACCACCGCTACCACCGACCACACCACACCAACTGCCACTGCTGGCCTCCGACGCCGCTGCCGTGTGGCTGTCGAGCGCTCTCTCTCTCACCCAGTCTCATTTGCGTCCAGATCTTCCGCTGCAACCATACCTTCCCACCCTTAACGACGCCACCGTGCCACCGCGCACCTCGGCAACCTCGCATCGCGTTGCTCCCAATCAGGCGTGGCAAGAGCCCCTCCAGCAGCCTCACCTAGCAACCTTCCGCTCCCATCTCCAGCATCGCTGCTATCCTTCTCAACACCATCCATCGACCACACACCTCATCTATACGATGCTTGTCGGCGCATAGTCAACTGCTGATACCCACAACATCCTCGCCGTCTGCCGCAGCCACGACTACAGTCAGTCGCATCTCACGCACCCCACTTGCTGCCTCGCGCCTTGCCAAGCCAGCTAGCTGCGCCCGGCTCACCACAGCGATCATGTCAGCCGTCGCACCCAGGCCCAATTCGGTCGCCAACTCCTTCTACGAATCCGACGCTCGCCCCAGCTTCGATGCTTCACGTCCACGCGAGTCTCTAGGCAAGAACTCCGGCCTGATCCGCGCCATCGGCCGAGAGCGAGAGGGTCTCGCCCCTTCCTACCGTCCCCCAAGCACATGGACCCAGCGCTCCAGTCACCACGACGTCGTCTGGGCCGGCGAGCACGACAGTACCCTCGACCACCCCAACGACGACCAGTTCTCGGACGCCGAAAGCTGGGACGGCGAGACGCAAGCAAGCTCGCACGCCGCCACAATCGGCGAACACGACGCAACAACCAGCGTCTATGGCCACGTACGCCCCACCAGCATCGGCAGCTCCATCTTTGCCGGCCGCGGCGCGAAATCCGAACGCAGGCGCAAAGAGGCTCCTCCACCCCTCCCTACCCTGCCACTCTCCGCTCAGCATCAGCATGCCAACCTCGCCTTTGGAGCAGACGCCGCCGGCCTGCTCAGCCCATCCGCACAGAGCATGCTCACGCCTCGGAGCGATGCAAGTGGCTTCGAAGACACCAGCCAGTACAGCCCCAGCGTCCATCAAGACCCCTTTGAAGCTGACGAGCTTTCTCACGGATTCGACCTGCAGAATGGCCATAAGCGCACCCGCGCCCCGCAGCCAGCCGCTCAGAACGGCCATGCAGAAGACCCAACCGCGACACAGCCAGTGCCTAACCGTGCCTCTTCACGCGCGCCGCCGCCCCTCCCTGTCAAGGCGGCCTCGAGAAGCAGCAACGAATCGCTCCATCGCGACCACTCCACCTCGGCAGACCTCACGCTGACCGACGGAACGCTTGCACTTCCCAAACGCAGTCCAGCCAGACTCGCCGATGGCACGCTCGTGCCCAAGATGCCCCCGGTCCCGCACACCAGCGACTTGATGCAGCCCCGCAAGGCCAAAGCGCGTCGTGACCGCTCGCCCATCCTCTCGTTCGACGGTGGCGCCGCAGAGGAGGAAAAGATGCTCGTCGAGCTCCAAGACAGGCTCGCCAACGACGTCCGTCGCATCAGCACGCTTGGGCCCAAGGTCAAGAAGAACGCTCCGGCTCCCTGGGAGCTTGGCGGTGACGATGCAGTCACTGCAGCAGGACGACCGTCGCTGCGTGAAACGCTCCGCCCGAGTGCTGAGACGTTCGAGAAGCCCTTCTCCAGGTTCAAGACCAGACCCTCGGTAGATCATGCCCACTCCGGAGGTCGAAGCCCGAACACGGCCCACGCTCCGTCTACCCTTGCTCACAGCTCGAGCAATGCCGACTCGCTCGAACAGGAGGCCAAGAAGGAAGATGACGCCCAGTCGCTCTTCGCCACCCAGCGCTCGCGCTCCAAGAGCGTCTCGAGCAGCGCCGTCGGCATGCTCAAAGGCCTCGGTCTCGCTGCGGCTGCCGCGCCCGCCTCCAAAAAGGGCAAGCTCACCAAGGCGTTGCGCCTCGTCGGTGGAGGAGGCTCTTCTGCCAACGACGAGCGTCGCCCTGCCTATCCCGGCTCGGGCCCGTTCTCGGAGCACCCAGCAGGCGCCAACGTCAATGCCTCTGGTGGTCAGCACGCATCTTCGCTGGGCCTCGCCAAGCCGCAGGCGCTTGGCGAATTGCCGCACAGTCGCTCGTCCAGGACTCTCAACAGCAACGGCCCCAGCGCAGTGCCCAGCAAAAGCACCGCCGATCTCGCCAACATCATCATGTCGGCCAACGCAAAGTACCGAGACCAGGCATCGTCTCCACCCATCCCCTCTCCCAAGCATGCCAACGGAACTCTGCCTTCCCCGCTGTTGGGCGGCGCCCGCTCGTTGGGATACAAGAAAGACACCCTGAGTCCGATCCCGGGCAATTCGTTCCTGACCGAGCACCGTCGTGGCTCGGGCTCTCTGGAGCAGACCAGGTCGCGCACGCCGCCATCGCGCGACGCGAGTTCAAGGCAGCCGTCCGAGGCGAACAGCGACGTGGTCATGGCGCGCAACAGCAGCATCGAGAGCGAAGGCGCATTTGCTTCGACCGTACCCGAGGGAGAGTCAACTCCCGTCGGCAAAGCGGCGGCAGCAGAGGTGTCTGCGGCTCGCGGCGCACCGGGCTCGCCTGTGGGCCCCAACGGCGGAGTGCTTTCTGCTTCGTCTAGCCAGACCTCGGGGAGCCTGCCACTGCCAGGCAACATCGAAGGCGTGCCTTACAAGCTCATTTCGCTCGAACAGGCCCGCGAGCAGGCGAGGCAGAAGCAGTCCGAGTGGCTCGCATCGTCTGGCGCGGTAGGAGCGGGCAGGAACGCGGCCGAGTCCATCCACGACGAGCACGCAATGCACAGGGATCCCTCGAGCGACGGACAGACCAACTCGCGCATCCTCAAGAACAAGAAGAGCGGCTTCCTCATGCGCAAGCTCAAGAAGGAGAAGGGCGTGAGCATCGACCTCGACGGCGTTTCGACCTTCCCTCCTAGCGGCAGCAGCAGGGATTTGAATGCATCTGCCAAGTCACCCATGCCGTCCTTCTCCGTGACTGGGCTGGACGAGGAGAACGATGCGCTCGGGCCGCTGGGTCTGAGCGAAAAGCCGGCGCTCCAGATCCGACCTGTCTCGTCCATGTTCTCGGGCTTTGCCGCCGACTTCCTCGACGCCTCGGCGCTCTCCGAGGGACATCTGCGCGAGGCGTCCAACGGCTCGTCGACCAGCTCAACCGGACTGCTGGCGCCGCACAGCCCGGCGCCTTCTTCGTTCCGAACGCCGTCGCCCGTGCTCTCTGATTCGGGTCGATTCGCGCCCTCCTCGACGTCGCACAAGCCGCAGCTCGCTGACATCCGACCGCCACCGCACGGCGCCAAGCTGCCCGGGCCGGCGGTGCCCGGATCGGCGGACAGCACCTGGAGCGGCAACGGCGGCGCCTCGGGCGCGAGTCGACTGCCGAGTCTGGATGCTGGAGGCAGCGTGTCGGACACGCAGTCGCAGTTCCACTCGCCTGCCACGTCGCCGCTCACGCCGTCGTTCCACCACTCTGTGCACCCGCCGAGCTCGAACGCGGCGACGACGCCGTTGCTCGGATCGAGCGAGGCCGAGACGGCGCTGTCGGCGCCCGCCAGCCCGCAGATCCCCGAGGAGGTGCGCCAGCGCGCGCGCGAGATCGAGGCGCAGATCCAGGAGCTCAGCAACGAGCTGCACGAGCTGCGCGTCAAGCATGTCGGCCACGGCACTGCGCCCGTCTTCCGGCCCAGCGAGGCGGCCGACGGCGAGCGCAAGGAGCATTGTGCTGTGGGCGCGTGTCCGTCGTGCGGCTGCGGGTGTGCTGAGCAGAGGAGGCTGCAGAGCATCAACGAAGCGGCGGTGCTCAAGGGCATCAGCGTGCTCGATCGCGGCCGTGCGCTCAAGCCGAGCCAGAACATGGGCAACACGGGCAAGTTTGGCGGATACACCAACCGCTGATCGCACATCTTTGCGTCGTAGAGTTCCACTCGAAATACCCAGATCGATACCCAGGCCCAAGCACAAGCATGAATGGTCCCGGTCAGAATGTGTGTTGAGGACTGGCTCGCATGAGGTGGTGTTACTTTTGCGGTGTCCTGGGGGCATTTTTTGCTGCAAGACGCCGGGGCGCGATGAGACGCGTGTGTGAAAAAAGTCGCCGCAGCCCACCCATCGGATTGGCTTTGGATGAGGCTCAGATAAGGGCGAGTGGGTCTCGGAGGGGAGCGAGGGGGGTGCATGCGTTAGCATTGGGGCTAAAAGTGGGTTGCAGTGCGACGTGCGAAAAGGAACTCAACGGTCCCGGGCTCGGGGGTTCGATAAAGGGTCAGTGCGAACAAAGTGGGCAACCAACACGCTGGTCACCGAGAGGGCCAGAGAGGGGTTCAGGGTCCAAACACAGCGCGGGCTTGGGTCGAGGGGTGAAAGGGTTTATCTAGGCCCCCTACTGACGCAACCTGGCTTGACGTGCTGCCACCAACTCTTCGATATGACTCGCTTGGCGAATCGCGGGCAGCTTTCGCAGCGGGATGTGCATCCTGATCCGTCTGCGGCGGAGCCGTTGCTTCCTGCGTCGGCACCTCTGCCGCATGAAGCGACGCGGTTGCACAAACCCCCTCGCTGGTGGTCTGGCACCACCTCGCCTTCCTCGACGCTCGGCGATGCCAGTGGGCAGCGTGAACCCAACAGCTGGGCAAAGGTGCGGCATCTGTACCGCGAAGAGCTCGCCGAGTTCTTTGGCACCTTTCTCATCCTCCTCTTCGGTGCCGGCGTGGAGTGTCAGGTGAATCTGCACTACCATGGTGCTGACACGCGCGATGTCGCTGCGTACGGGAGCTACTTCCAGGGCCGGCTGGCGTGGGCTGCTGGTGTAGCTATGGCCGTATGGGTATCGGGTGGCATTAGCGGTGGACATTGCAACCCCAGTGTGACGGTCGCCCTGGCGCTGTTTCGTGGCTTCCCGCGTCGCAAAATCATCCCGTTCGTCGTGGCTCAAACCCTAGGAGCCACGGCAGCAAGTCTTTTGGTGTATGCCAACAACTTGACCAACATCGCCCGCTTTCAGGGAGGCGCAGCAAGGACCGTGAAGGGACTCGGAAGCACGGCACCGTTCTTTTTTACGCTTCCCGCGCCCGAACTGTCGTATGCCTCGGCATTCTTCTCGGAATTCCTCGCCACAGCCGTGCTGCTCTTCGTCGTCTTTGCACTCGCGGATACGGCCAACCTCAAACCGCCAAAGGGGGCACAGCCTTTTGCGATGTTCATCGTGCTGTTGGGCATCGGCGCTAGCTTGGGCTACAACACCGGCTATGCGATCAATGGCGCGAGGGACACGGGCCCGAGGATCGCACTGTGGCTCGTCGGGTACGGCAGCGAGGTGTGGACGCACGATGCGTGGTACTGGGCGTGGAATCCGTGGCTCAGCAGTATCCTGGGTGGAGCGGTGGGCGCTGCAACGTACGATGCCTTCTTGTACACCGGTCAGGACAGTCCGTTCAACAGGCCCAAAGTCGTGCGTGGCGGGTACGGTGCGATCCAGGTGACTTCGGATGACGAAATCGAGAGCAGCGCATAGACCGAGACGCTAGAGGATAGACACAGCTCATGCCTCATTGCCGCATAGCTTCTCATCGCACTGTCGAGTTAGATAGATACATCGTCGTGGCTATGCCGTAGTGACTGTGCTGGAGAGAGCTGGGATAATGGCATCCCGGAGAGTGGGCTGGGCGGGTGAGTCTAACAAGCGTGTAAAAATGCGCAGCTCAAGATTCTCTCTCCACATGACCATAGCCGCAGTTGCTGCGCAACATTGCGTCCTTGTTCACCACCACCATCCTCCTTTTCCGGCCTGACCTCGCATATGCCGAGGTGACATCAGCATGAACACAAGACAAGCCGAAGCAAATACATCGGAGGCGTCTTCGTCGCGCACGCTCACGGTCGACCACGCGCCCGCTTCGCATACGCAGCCGCACGATGTGGGGATCCTGCGCCTTCGACCCGAGCCGCGCTCGCGCCCCGGCCTCGACCAAACTAGCAACAGTGCGAGTGGAAGCACACGTCGGGTAGTGTGGACCGAAGAAACCGTGGACAACGAAGGCCTCGGTCGCAAAAAGTCCAAGAGTAAGTCTCGCTCGTCCGGGCCAACCTCAGTATGCGCGCTGACTAGTTGGTGCTTCAGTCTGCTGTATCTACCACAAGCCAAAGGCATTCGACGAGTCGTCTGACGAGTCCTCGTCTGCGTCCGACTCTTCCGAAAGCGACTCGGACTCGGACGCAGCTTCTTCGGATTCCGACTCGGGTCCAGCCCTGTCAAAGGCAGCCAAGGAGAAACTCAAACAGCGCACCAAACATCGCCACCACCACCAACACGCCGAGGGCTGCACTCATTCAAAGTCGCGCTCGTCCACAACGACCATCACACAGCAGCAGCCTAGCCAGGATCGAGAAGCGCATTCCGACTCGGAACATGCGCCAGCCGACAATTTCCGCCCTAACGCCTATGAACGCGGCACAAGGTAGCCCACACACGAACCAGTCATTGTCATACCCTTCCGTCATCACAGCATGCATCCTCGAGCCGACCCCGCCCGACACCCATCTCTGGGGAACCGCACCACGGCGACTGGATGTGCATGTCTCGATTACTGTGAGCAGGACGTGATAGACTCAGGCAAACGGGTCAAAGTCCTTCCATGCGTCTGTGGTCGACTTTGCGCCCGCGCCTCCGACCGCAGCCGACTTATTGGGCTGCAGTACGCTACCCCCCCACCCTGGTGGGCCTACCGACGCTGCTGGTGTCGGCGCAATGCTTACTGGCGCAGCGGGCTCGATGGCGGGCGCCAGCGACGACGACAGCGACGACGGCGCTGGGTTCCATCCCGTCCCCGTCGCTGGCGGCAGCGAGATATTGTAGTTCGGCCCGGCACCACCACCACCGGCTGCACTTGAGGCCGTGGGCGTGGCCGCGGCAGATTTTGGGTGGGAGGAGCTGGGTTGAAGCACGCTGTTCCAGCTACCGTTGACTGGCGCAATGGTCGAAGTGGTGGGTGCTGCGGATCTCGACGAGGTGGATGACGAAGAGGCGCTGAGTGGCGGGCGCACAAACGACGGCGGTGGTGCTAGCGCCGGGATGCTGCTTGCCGTGCTCGGTGCGGTGCTGGAAGAGAGCAGCGATGATGTGCTGGGCTTGGGTGCTGATCGGCCCGTGTGCGTGGGTGTGAGACCACCGATGGGCGTGGGCGTGCTCGATACCGCAGGCGAGATGTCGGACGCCACCAGACCCGCCCCACTGCCGAGGCCCGAGGATCCGCCACCGAGCGCGCCAAAGTCGTCTGCGAGCCCGAACGGGTCGTCTGCCACCGCCTTGTCCGCGCCGCGTGCAGTCTTGGTCTGACCGACGAGCGTGGCAAAGTCGATCTCTCCGCCGGCGCCGATGCCCGTCACGCCTCCTGCAGCACCGTTGGCGCCGGGGCCGCCCGCGCGCGCATCGGCGGTGTACGAGTCGGTGTGGTCCTGCATGCGCTTGACGTCGCGCAGATGTGCGGTATGCTCCTTCTCCACCCGCGTGCTCATCTCACGCACCGCCTTCATGAAGCGTCCGAACTGGTCGGCGTTGAGCAGCGGGCCCATGGACATGACCCAGAGCTGCGGGATGATGGCGGTGGCGAGCGTTTCGCGGTCCACCTTGGCTGCCATGCTCTCGTGCACCGCGAGCGTCGCCACCATGACGCTCGGCTCCTTGGTCTTGATGCGCGCCAGAATGGGCACCAGCTTTTCCGTCAGCGTGTACTTGTCCAGAATGCCCACCATCGCATGGAAGCAGATCAGACAATTGACCTTGACGCTGAGCACCTTGGTCTTGGCAAAGAGCGATGCGAGTTTGGGGAACAGCACCTCTTTGACGTGCGCGTATTCGAGGATCTCGGCGAGTCGAGGTACGGTGCGTAGGGCCTTTTCCTGCACCAGCACGTTTTCCGCCTCGAGCGCAGCGTACAGCAGCGGCGTGACCTCCTCGCGGAACGTGGTGGGCGCCGTCTTGGGCACGAACAGCGGCTCGATCTGGTCGAGCAGCAGCAGCATGTTCTGCGGCGGATCCTGCACCGCAAACAACGGCTTGAGCTTGGGCAGCACCGAGTTGGTGAACTCGAGCGACGAGAGGTTCTTCGAGATGTGGAACACGTTGGGCAGGATGAAAGGCAGCAGCGATCGGTCGGTCATGAGCTCCAGTACGGCCGGCAGTACCTTGCGCCGCAAAAGGCGGTCCGAGAACTGCGGGAGGATCTTGAGCAGGCCCTTGAGGTACTGCACGCGCTCCTCCTTTGTGCGTCCGGCAAAGCTGTCCCGCTCCATGAACTTGAGCGTCGAGACGAGGATCGAGTTGAAGTAGCGCGCTTGCTGGAACGACGCTGCGGTGAGACGCGCGGCAGGGAAGCGCGTGAGCAGGCTCGAGAGCACGTCGAGCACATCGCTGCCCATGCGCGACCAGCTCTGGCTGCCGATGGTGGTGGCGAGCTGGTCCGCGTTGCCACGCAGGTTGGGCAGCGAGTTGCGGTTGCGAAACGGCGGAGAGCCCTTGTTATGCACGGCGTAGACGACGCAGCCCAGACTGTACATGTCGTTTTCCGGCCCCAGCTTTTCGTCGAGCGCATACTCGGGTGCCATGTAGTCAAAGTTGCGGCTCATGGCCGGCGGTAGGCTCGGATCGTAGTCCGGGAACGTCCACGGCGTCTTGCCACCTCCACCAGGAAGCTCGAGCGGCGTGAGGAACGAGAAGCCGGCGAGCTTCCAGTCGCCCTTGGCGTTGATGAGGATCGAGTCGGGCGAGAGGTTCTGATGGACCATCTTGGCGGTGTGGAGGAACTCGAGGCCGCGTGCGACCTGGAGCAGGCCCTTTTGGATCTCGACCTCGTCCAGCTGCACGTCTTGGCGGTGGTCCGAGACGAGCGCTTCCGAGAGCGAGGCAAACACCTGTTCGGTGGCGAATGTGACGTCGTTGCGCGACTCTTCCAGCGGCTCGACCACCTCGAGGATGCACGGATGGCGCAGGCGTGTGAGCGACGACGCCTCCTTCTTGAGCTGCTCGGTGATGCGCTGACGCACCTGGCCGCGTGTGTTGAACGTATGCGTCCATATCGACACGGTATTCTTGGACGCTGATGCCGAGCTCGAGCCACCGGCAGCTGGGGCTAAGGACGACGCATTGCGCGTCGCTCGGAAGATCTTCCACAGACCACAGTGCGCGGGCGATTGCGACTCGTCGATCGTGTAGTTGACCGAGATGTTGGTGCGTCCAAAGTAGGACGACGCCTGGCTCAGGAACGACGCCATGGCGGGGTGCGTCGCTTCCCGTGGCGAGTGCAAAGGTTGTGGCGGTGGAAGGTGGAAGACGGAGGGAGAGGTGGTGCGAATTCGAGACGTGGCGAGACCAACACCGACACAGTCGAGTGGGAATTCGGCACTTGGCTGCGTGTGTCCAGCGGAGCGCGCCTCAGTTCCTAGGCCAGCCCACGCGAGTTCTCTTTGCTCTGCAGCCGCCTCCCCGCTCCCCCGCGCTCCGAGATCCGAAATATCGTCCTCTCCTCCGCTTCAGAAGCAGCCTCCCTATCCTGCACGCACAGCAACAGGCGCCAATTGGCACCAGCATTGCTTGAGGGAATGATCAAAGCTACCGTGGCTGAATGCTTGGATTACTGGTTGCATGCATGCAGAGCGCTTCAAGAAGCGACAAAGGGACTACTCCCAGCCGGTCGCATCGGCTGCAGCTGGCTCGGGCGCATCAGCTGGCTCGGGCGCATCAACAGGCTCTGGCGCCTCAGCTGGCTCGAGAGCAGCAGCAGCAGCCGCCGCCGCCGCCAAGTTGAGCACGTTGCCGCGCTCGTCGACCACGGATCCGTGACGGCCCACACCGATGCCGTAACCATGGGCGTGCGGATCCTTGCGAGCCTCTGCGGCGCCATCCCACTTGGCTCGACACCAGATGCAGGTCCTGGCAAATCCACGGCTGTCGAACCACTTTTGCAGGCAGTCGCTATGGATCGGTCGACCGCACGACTTGAGACAGAACTCGAGTCCTTCGGTGCTGCCCGGTTCCAGATCTTCGTAGCAGACGCCGCACATGTCGCCTTCTTCCGGGATGATGCGCTTGCCCTCGTCGCCGCTCGTCGAGTCAGAGCTGGAGCTGGATGCAGCGTTCGGGTCGAATCCGACGGCGTTCTCCCAAGCGCGCCTCACGCCCTTGTGTGCCATGGCCTCGGCGACAGGGTCCACGCGTGCTTCGGCGAAGATTGCCTCCAGCTCCGAAGTGGATAGGCGAACTCGAGAGTAGACCGGGAGATGTCCCGCAAGGCGCAACACCTTGATGTAGACGAAGAGGATGTGCTTGCATGGACGGCGTTGGAGTGCAAAGTCCATGCAGCTGCACTCGACGTTCTGTGCCAGCGCAACCTTGTAGACGTTGCCCTTGCTGCCGAACACGTCGAACTCCTCTCGAAGCGTGGTGCCATGGCGGAAGCGATGGATGAGGTAGAGTCGCTCCACGTGCGCCTTGGCGATGCGCTTGATGGTATCGTCCGGCAGCTTTCGGAAATGCTTGTCGCCGTGCAGCTCCTGGATCTTGTTCCGCAACAGCGCCGCTTGGCTTATCTTCTTGGGCTTGGCCTCCTTCTGCGCCTTCTTGGGGGAAGAGCCCCGGGGCGCTTTGGTCGAGGTGGATGGCTTCTTGTACCTGCGCTTCGGGCCTTCTTCGAGCTCGTCATGCTCGGCTGCCGACTCGGATCCCGAGGACCGACTCGTCCTCTTGCGCTTGGCAGCCGGGCTTGCACTGGCGCGCCGTGTGGCAGACGAGCTGGATCCGGCAGCTGCCCCGGAAGACTGGCGCGATGGTGATGGCTTCTTGGGGATCGGAGGCAGCTTGGTCCTTGTCGACCTCCGAGGTTTGGGCGTCGGTCCGACGTTGGGGCCTGTCGCCCCGATGATCGCAAAGCCCTCATCATCGGAAGGCATCGTTGCGGATGGAGATGGCGGCGAATGGTCAGACAGCTATCAGATGTGTGGATGCGTCGACATCAAAGGCGAGCGGAGAGAACATTCGAAAGGGGGATGCGCAGCAAAAGTCGGTGAGCAGGGGTCGGTTGGTTCGAGCACTTTGCTGCATGCGTGTGGCAAAGTGGAGGAGGCGCTCCTCTGCCTGCACAAAGCGTCGATGCTTCCGAGCTTTCTCGAGCCCGCATGTGGGCCTCCAGCAGGTGATTAGCCATTTGACACCTGCTCATGCGCGTTCGGTGGGGCCCACTCGACTGAGCCGAAAAAATCCAGACTCGCCGGAGGTTGGACCCTGCATCCTTGTCAAGGCAGCTGGCCGACTCCAGCAGAAGAATTCACACGTTCATGCAGCGGACGCGCGGGCCGCCTTCATCCGTCGTGAGCTTACTTGCCAGACGGTTTGCTTGGCAGGCGCATCTAGCCTCCAGCCTTCGAGCTTGCGCGCACGGATGACGGCAACGATGATACGGATCAGTCTTGCTGGCATTTGCTGGCACTGGTGTGAGGCTCAAAGCGCCCACCGCTACTTGTGACTTTAGAAAGTGCATTCAAGCGTGCACATCAGCTTGGCCAAGGAGCGCCGGCGCTGATTCATACACAGATCGATCGCAGGGCATCGGAGAACCGAGACAAGCTCAACAAAAAAGCGCTGGAGTTTCCGTGTGGGTATCATACAGTACAAGAAAAGTCATCGCTCTGTCACGTCGGGAAGGATCGAGGCGGAGCGGCGTAGGAAGAATGCGAGCGAGGCGCTCAGAAAGCGGCGAGCACCTCTTGGACGATCAAGGGCACGTCGTTGGCCTTCTGGAGCGCGCGCAGACGCGCCAAGGAAGCCTCTGGCATGTGGTACTGCTCGCCCTTGGACGAGGTCACGGCGACGTTGTCGATGCGGCCGCCGACATCCTTGAAGCGCAGGTTGACGTGCACGAGCGATTGATCGGGAAGTGCGATCGACTTGCGCTTGCGTCGCGGCGCGGAAGCCTTGGCCTCGCCGTTCTGCATCTGCGGGTTGAGCGCCGCGGAATCGAGCGGGAGTTTGTAGGTGATGCGGATCTCGTTGGCCGAGATGGCCTCGATCTCGTCGACGCCGAGCAGCGACTTGAGAAGGCCGATGGTGGCGATGTGGCTGGCGCACAGGCGTTCGGTCTCGAGATCGCGGCCGCCATCGACGCCCATGCCCATCTTGGCCTCGTTGGCAAACTTTTCGGCGAGCGAGCGTTCGGCGTTGATCCTATCGAGCGCTCGGAGCGACGAGACGAGGTCCTTCTTGGTCGTCTCGATGGCTCTCTTGACGTCGGTCGTCTTGCCCTCCAACGCTGTCATGTCGTTGATCTGCGCATCACAGTACTCCTCGGCCTCGCTGGTGGTCAGAGGCCCGTCGCGACCGGCGATGGCGGCAACATTGCCGCCCTTTCCGTGGTTCTGGGCTCGGATTTTGGCCAACTCGAGCTCCATGTCGCCGATCTCCTTGATGAGCTGTTCGGCCTCGCGACTGTCTCGCTCCACCTGCTGCCACGGCTCAAAGAGCTCGTCGGCCGCCGCATCCACCTCCTTTCGGAGCGCGCGCACTTCGGCCTTGGCATCGGTGAGTTGCGTCTTGAGCGCCTTGGCCGAGCGTTCGCGTTCTGCGACCTCGGCGGCCGAGTAGACGGTCGCCTCTTTGCCGGAATCGAGGTCGTCCTGAATGTCGGCCATGAAGCGCATCTTGGTCTCTTGCTCCAAGTAGATGAACTTGAGCTTCTTGAAGTAGTCCTGTGTGCGGCGTGAGGTGTCGATGCAGGCATTCAAGCGTGTCAGTTACAGTCGGATGGAGCCGCCAAGCGCGCGAAGTCACTCACAAGCAAAAGCCTCTCCTCCTCGTTCAGTCCTTCGGGCCATTCCTTGTACACGGCCCAGTTGATGTCGAGCTCGCCTTCGGAAGCGAATTGCGACATGCTGCTGCGTCTGCGCTTGGCCGGAGATGCATTGTCGCCGAAGAGACGCCTCTGATGATTGCGATCGGATTTGGAGAGCAACTGGTCGCGGAGCGTGTGCAGCGACAGATTCTCCGGCGAGATGTCGAAGGCGCTCGTTGCCAACTTTGTAGGAGAGCGAGCGGACAGCTGAGGTCCAAGATCCGCAAGAATGCTGTCGATTCAGAGAAGGGGAAGATCGGCGGGTCAGCTAGAAGAGTCAAAGACCATGGCGCGGGCCTTCGACAGGCTCGCCGAGTCAACTCACGTTCTGGCATCGCTGATAAGCGCCTTGACGACATCCGGATTGAGTTCGATTGGTGCCGAGCCCGAAGTGCTGCTGTCTGCTTCCTCATCGGCACCTCCAAACTGCACTTTGCGCGTGCGTGCTGGCGGCGCTTCGGGCTCGGAAGGGCGGCCGCGCGAGTTGCGCTTCGAGCTAGTACCGGCCATCTTGATACGAAGGGAGAGAGAGAGAGGTGTATGGGGGCTCACTTCACGAGAATGGAGAGCAGGATGGTGGTCGCGACCGGTGTGATTTTAGCAGAGAGGCTCCACGCCTTACAGTCAACAGCCGGACACGCTGCGCCCCGACGCGCCCCAACGCGCTGCTGCTGCTGCTGCTGCGCCGAGACCAACACGCAACACCCAAATTTCGAAAAGCACACACGTGACTTGGCGGGGCCCTTTCTCCACTTTGCCGTCACCTTTTTTTTTCTGCTGCATGCACGTCACCCTAAATCGGCTTCCAGGTTAAAGTGCATGGCCACTCTTGGCCGCCATCTTGAGCCTCTTCTTCTTGTTCTTCACACTCTTTCCCAAGAGCATTGATCCGCAGCGCAGCGCGAAGCTCTGAAAAATCCACGGATGCGCATCGTCTGCGCATCACATCCGCGCGGCGAGTAAGTCCCGGCTCGTCTCATCCAACGAGGCATCCACGGACAATTTCCCCCTTGCCTCATGCCGCTCACTTCCGAAATCTCATATATGAGACGCCTCCATCCGTCTCGGCGCTTGGAATGAACGAGGAGCTTCTCTCAGCCACAAGAGGTCTCTCCTTGTCACCTCGCAAGGATCCACGTCCGGCTCGTCAAGCTTCTACATCAAAGCTTTCGGCCCTTTCGCCAAGTACCCATGCATCCGGCAGCGGCAGACCTGCACTGGCCACCTCGCCCCAGCAAAACGCGCCTCATCCTCCTTTCGGTGATCGGAGCGATCAGAACAGTACATCAAAGCTGGATAGCCCCGCTGCTCGGGTCTTACCCTACTTCAACATGCCGAGGGGTGTCAAGCGACCAAGGCGCGATCTGGAAGCAGCCGACAAGGCTGACGCCAACGTCAGCACTACGCTCAATAGCTTCAACAACGCTCATGACCCCATCGTGATCTCGGACGACGAGGAGCGCGAGCCCTCGGTCGCCTCTTCTCCGTCCGCCGAGCTGCGCAGCCTCGCAAAGAAGTATACATACGAAAGCCCCAGCAAGGCAACCTCACGCGAGAAAGCTGGCTCAAGCTCTAGCAAGGTCCAAGGATCCAAGCCGTTTGTACAGTCGGAATCATCGATTCATGCCGTGGCTCCTGATCCACATGCCCTCATCAAGGAGCCGCTTGCTTCCACCTCGACCAGCAAACCGGCATCGCGTCCCCCTAAACGACAGAAGGCGAGCAAGTCAAGCATCCGTCCCACAGTTCAGCCCAAAAAGACTGCAAAGCTTGCCCAAGAGGCTGGAGTCTCGCCCCTTGATCTCTCTGACTTGACATCGGCTGCCTTTCGACTCTTGACTCGCTGTTCCTTTTGCGCAGCTGCCTTCACCAAGTCTTCCACGCCAAAGACCAAGCAGGAGCACTTGTCGATGTGTGCACCGCTCCATTCGATCATCAAAAGCTCAACCGCTCTCGAAACGATCACATCCGATATTCGCAGCGCCGTCGCCAGAGACGAGGATGCCAAACGAGACGCGCAGGCCAATCGCACCGTCTTCCAGGATGTCGTCATGGACGCCGACTTGGTCCTGCACGAAGGACGAGCCAGCCAGATCGAGGTTTCTTCCAAGAAGCGCGGCAGGGACTCCGTCATGGTCAAAAAGGCCATCAAGCGCTCCACGAAACCGCCTCTGCTTCTTGCTACCTCGGACGAGTCCGCAGCGATTGGTTCAGTCACGCGCACGGCTACTTCTCGACTACAGTCGCCTCGCAAGGCCGGCATCGCTGCACGCGATCTCGCAGACCACTTGTTCACTGAGGAGCAGGACACGTCACTTCCTCCTGCTCCGGCTCACGAAGAAGACTTGGCCCCGGCATTTGATCCCGCTGCCGCCCTGCCGGCCACGCCGAACAAGCGAGGAAGCACGAGTAGTGCCAACTACGATCTTCCCCTGGTGTCTGCAGAGGAGGTGTTCGCCACGCTGACCTACACAAGTCCAAAGACTAGTCCCTTCAAGGCTCTGCAAGTCGCACGCGAAAGGCAAGCATTGCGCGACCAAGAGTCGATTTCGCTGGGAAGCGGTAGCAAGTCCGTGCCAGCAAGCCCTTGCCCCGCACCTACGCAGCCATTTGTGCCCTCCAAGCTCGCCCTGCGCCGCCGAGGTCAGGACGGCAAAGTACGCCCGAGGGTCTTTGATGCCGCAGCACCCAGTCGCTCGCTGTTGGATCTCGTCTCTGGTCACAAGATCGAATCCGACGATGCGAAGAACGAAGCCAAGCGCAAAGCATCTCTGCTCGATCGTCCAGACTTTGTCGCTCCGGCCAAGAAGGCGAAGCTTTCCAAGGAAGAGGACCATTGTATGGCCGATCTGAAACCCGTAGAAAAACACGAACCCGCGGTCGCAGATCAAACCTCTCACGTCTCTCTCGCCGGCTCGCCCTCGTACGATATGGACGTCGACGCGATGCCGACCGAAGATCAGACGAGTCCCAAGTTCGCTGCGCACGAGGACCACAAGATCGGTAAGCATCAAGCACAAGCGTCCTCGTCCATCCTTCAAGCTTCTGCAAATCATCGCTTCAAGGCTGACACAAGCCCACCAACATCTGCCAATATACCCCAGTGCGACGCAATTGATGAACCTGTCGGCTCGCCTGCTCTTCAACAGCACGATGATCAGGGCACAGCTGCCAAAGTGGATGGACACTCAAGTGAAGCGGAAGATGATGACGATGACGACGCGCAGTCGTTTCTTGATCTGCTCGAGCCTTCCGAGCCGTACGACCCGCATGCAAATACATACTTCCCAAGCACCGCCCTTCCTGTCCAAGCACATCCAGAGACGCTCTCTCCGACTTCATCGGATGACACAGAGACTGTCAGCTCGCCTCTCTCTGGCGACAGGAGACGTCGAATGCTCGTCGCATCTGGTGGTGCATCCGTCGGCTTTGCTGAAAGACGCGGACGGCGCGACTCTCCGTCCATCGATCAAGTTGCTTCCTCGGATCCGATGCAAGACCAGTCGAGCCCGTTGGTCACTAGCCGCGACGCTGACAAAACGGCGGTGACGGATTCTGAGCCCGACTTTAACGGCGCAACAGACACCAGCTCTGCAAGCACACCACAGCTTTAGCCGTTCGCATCACACAGCCGAGGCGCAAATAGTCTTGTCCGTCGCGCAGGCATACCCTTCCGCCCCAACAGATACCCATCGAGCCTCGCTTGCTCTGCAAACATCCTTTTGTTTCTCTCATCCCGACGGCGCGAGACTGTTGGCACTGCTCTGAGCGAGCGTCATGCTTTTGATCCGGATTTGCACACTGAGATTGAAGGTCTGCGCTTTGCGCTGTAGAATGCGGGTGAAGAGACGTGACGCTAGAGCTCGTCATGGGGATGGTGCGATTCTTGGCTGACTGGCTCGTGTGCGGACACCTGGCTGTCGGGGGCAACGACGCTGGCACCCACGATGCGTTGGTCCACCAGTCGCTGAGCCAGAGCGGCGACTTCCTGGTCGTAAACGTTCCACTCTGGGATCTGTCGTTTTGCACGGTCGAGTTTGGGCTCTTTGGTCTTTGGATTCGAGCAGAGGTCGATGGTTTTGGCGCGGTGGAGCCAGTCGTTTGAGCACCACGTTTCGCACCACAGCCACTCCTTGTCGAGCGTAAAGATGGGCAGACTGGCCTGCATGTTGTTGGGCAAATCCTGGTCGAGGTTACTGAGCGAATTCGGATCGGCCGATAGAGCCTGATACTGTCCACGCAATCGATCACCCGCTGCAAACAACCGGAACCGATTCAAGTCCACCACATACAGCGCCGAGATGTGGTAAGGTCGTCCGCGAAGGTAGTCTTTCCAGTACCCCTGTTTCCAGAATCGAAATCCATCCATGTCTTCCGAATCATCACCCATAGGTGGGTAGCCATACACGTGGCCCTGAAGATCCAGATCAACAAGCTCCTTCATGTCGGTACGGACTACTTGATCCGCATCGACAAAGATCACCTTCGATAGGTCGAGCGGGAAGAGTGTGTCGAGGAAGAGGATCTTGTAGCCCCAGATGGTGCGTTGCTTCTCGCGCTGCGCTCGCAGCCAGTGCGGCCACGCATACGTCACCAGCTCGTACTCAAATCCATACTCCCGAGCCAGATGCGGGATAAACTCTTTGAACGAGGGCGAGAGGAAGTTCTCGATGAACCAGAACTTGACGCTGCTCGATGTATGCTTCAATACCGACAGGATCATGATGTACGTCATGCGCTCGTACAGATGTCCACTGGCAACCGTAAAGATGTTGATGTCCGCGTGCTTGCGTGTCGCCAAATCTTTGCTGTTGGTGTTGGAAACCTTGCTTGCCCACGAAGCGACCTTGTGCTTGGCGGAGGAAAGCAGCGCACTTGCTGACGCTGCAATGCCTTCTTCGGAGCCTTCCCCATCGAAGCGCACCTTCTTCATCGGGCGTCCCTGTGCATCGAGCTCCTCGAGAAGCTCTTCGCGCTGCTTGCCGGCACGTTTCGCGACGCGCGGATAGATCGTCAGACCCGACAAGGTGTCGAGCGTCACATCCTCGCCCGTCACATCAACCGAGGCACTGTTCCAGCCATTGCCACCCACACTCTGCATCTGGTACAGCTCGTCGCTACGACCTGGTCGGATGCGCAGCTTCCACAGGCCCGGCTGCGCTTTGAACTGGAAGTACGCCAGATTCGCCATGACGATCGTGTCGAGGCTCGTGCTGGCGTCGGGCGTCTCGAGGAGCAGCTGCAGTCCTCGCGGCACCGACGTCGCCGTGCCCGCACTCTCCTCGCGCGCATGGCCTTCGATGAGAATGTGCTTGAGCTCATACACCGCCTTGACGCCTTTGGCTCGAGAGGTGGAAGGCACGTCGGCGAGGCGGATGTTGTCTAGATCGTACACCGCCTCCACCGGCATGGTCAGCCAGGGCGCAGGCGCATCGAGCCCGAGCGTCAGCACTGCCTCTTCCGGCATGTCGAAAAAGCGCAGCTCAGCTGCTGTCGCGCGGGCATCCGGACCAAACTGAGGTCGATGCGGAGCACTGAAGCGATAGAACCGCTTGAGCGGCAGCTCGCGCAGCTTAATGTCCGGATTGAGGATTACGCGCACGTACACGCCGTGCAGCTTGCTGAGCATCTCCAAGATGCTCGACCAGCGCTGGGCAGACTCTGAGAGCGGGTTGACGAGCAGCGTGATCCGGATGTCCGAGGTCGCACGCTCCCCGACTTCAAAGACGTGATCCTGGGTTCCTAGCTGTTCAGGCAAGCCCGAGCGAGAGTGACCCTTTGCCGAGAAGATGCCTTGCCCCGCGCGACTCTCCTCGTAGACGCCGTTCATCACCGACACGGCGGCAAACATGAGGTCCTGACGTTCCCGCGGGTTCATCTCGTCGATATTCTCTCGTAGCAGCTTGAGGGCCTGCTCGATATACGGCAGCTTCTGGCCGGCCTCGTAGTCAACGAGAGCCGTCACATCCCGAGCCTCGATGGACTCGACGTCAAAGTTGGAAACCAGGTGTCCGTCGACGAGAATCGCTGCACTCGACAGCCCGTATTTGGAGGCGATGATGGATCCAGTGCTGTCCCAGAATCGCCGAGCTGCTCTTTGATTCGCGGCCAAGTCGTATCGTTCTTCGTGGCCTTGCGCATCTGAGGGGGATAGACCGACAATGTCCAGTAGCTCGCCCATTCCCCTGATCGGAATCTCTTGCTCCTGCAGCTGCTGCAAGTGCTTGATCGCCCCTACCATCGTGGCCGCCTCAAGTTGATCCAAGCGCTGCTCTTCGATCAAGCGATACAGCAGAGTTGACAGCAGATGTTCGTTGCTCGCCTTCTGCAACGATTCCGTCGGCGTATGCAAGACTCCGAGTCTGAACGGCGCCTTGTCTCGACCGAGCGCCTCGAATGCTCGCAACAGCAATGTCGAGCCTTGGTGCGAGTCAAGATCCGCCAGCATCCAGACGGTGGAATTGAGAAGCGCACCAGTTGCTTCGCCAGTCCGGCTGTCTGCGGCGATTGCCTGCGGATAGAAGAACTGGAATGCTTGTGTCGCCGCTGCGGAAGGGACAGTGTCGTCGAGGAGCGCCGAGAACAGATCCACGGACTCGTGCTTCGCATCAGCAGCGCTGTCTTTCTCAGCACGGGGTCCGGAGCTTGATCCAGGAACCAGTGCCGAGCGATAGGAAAGGGCGCCGACAGCATCGTAGAATAGCGTATCAAGCCCCGGCGTGCTGCTGCTGATCTGTCCATAGTAGATCTGGGGCGCAAGCACCTGGATCTGCTCCTGAATCGCCTGGTGGAGAATGTGGACGATCTGCGGATGGAATGGGTGGTGCTGGCCGTTGACAAAGACGTGGCCTGTGGAGCTCTCTGCGCGCGTAGCTCGGAGTCGCTTGATGTATGCCTTGGTGAGCGCTTCTCTCTGGGTGTAGTTCGAGCCATCGCCGGAGAGCACCGCGTCAAAGCGTGTTGCCAGCGACCCGTCCGCATCGAGGCTCTTGAGCACAAACTTGGCTTCCTTGACAGCCACCGAGACATCGATTTTGTCTGCGGATCCACTCTTGCTTGCGGACGCTTTTCGAAGCACGTCGGAAAGAAGCTGCGGACCTGCTTCTTGGAGCACGAACCAGAACAAACGCGCCATGCGGATCGAGTCGGTGTTGGCATCGTCTTCGAGACCGCCTGGCACCAAGCCCCAGTGCAGACCGACACGGCCAAGGCTCTGGATGGCCGTCTCGACGAGGAATCGACAACTGTCTTTCTGGCTCAGATCGAGGACGAGCACGACATTGAAGAGGTTGCGGGAGAGGCGCGGGAACTTGCCGGGCCACATTGGGCGGAGCAAGTCCATGAGATCATCTGACCACTCGCTTGTTGCCTCGTCCTTTTCCAAATCGTTGAGCCATGTGATGGCGCCTGTCGAGGACCCTTCTGGTGCGGTCTTGAGCTCGATCCGGTCGCTCGCATCGAAGGTGGCCGCGGCAGAGCTGCCTTCCGACTGCGCTAGGAAGGCACGACCTACTAAACTGGACGAAATCAGGTCGGCGGCTTCGGTCACATTGAGACCGCCGCCTGCGAGGCCATGTTGGAGGGCACGAGACCATCGGCGTTCGCTACGCAGGATGTCTAGCAGCGCAAGAGGCATGAAGTCTCTCGCATTTGTGTTTTGTCCGTTGAGCCAAAGCTCGGAGGAGCCCGGCTGGATGCGCATGCTGCTCAGGCCGAGCACAGCTTCGACGAGAGAGGCAGAAGCGTCGTCTTCATCCCACTTTGTCGAGCTGGCCAGAGCTGCTGCGTGCGTAGGAAAGTTTTGGGAGAGCTCCTTCATGGCCCGCAGCGGATCTGAAGAAGACATGATGAGTCTGGCGGCCTTGATGCCGAGGTCAGCGATCTGGTCTTCAGAGAGCGAAGAGAGTCCGAGGTTCTGCTCTGTCTCTGTGTCCGCGCCGATTTGCTCCTGCAGCCAGCGCAGGTTGTCCGAAGCATTCCTGGCGGCAACTTCTTCCTCGCCGTGCGAGTCCATTGACGAGCCGACGTCGCCCACTTCGCTATCGTCCTTGAGTTTGCGGTCGTCGATAACGAGGTAGTCGACCTTTTTGAGATCCAAGATGGCTCCGTAACCGGCGAGCACGGGTGCAGCCTCATCCTGTGACGGAGTGCCTGCGACGTCCAGCGCGGGTCTCCAGCGGAGAGTGTATGTGAATGGGACCGCAGAATGGCTCGCATACTCTTCGAGCGTGGAGAAGAGCTCTCGGAAGTTGTTCGAGTACGGATCGGCATACAAGATGACAGAGGGCCGGTCTCCTTTGTTGGGTTTGGAGGTGGCTCGGTGGTGACCAAAAGCGGCGCCGTGACTCTGACGCAGCTCAGCCTGGGATGCATCGATGCCGAATGCCTCGCGTAGTTCCTGAGCCGAGCAGAGGGCCTGGCCTTGGTGGTGGACCCAGCTGTCGCAAGGACTATCGGATGTGCGTGTCTGCCAAATCTCGTTGAGCTGCATCGTCTTGTACAGCTGAGCGAAGGCTTCGACCCTCGGAGCGCTGTTTTGAAGCGCCAGCGCCATCCTCCAAGCATCGAGCTCCTGCTTGGTGATCGTGTCGGATGCACCGAAGAGCGCATGCGACTTGATGACGTCTTCGACTGCATTGGCCAAGAACTCGTCGGAGGCAGCACGCAGCTCGGCGGGCGAGTGTCTGCTGGTGAGGGCGTCGATCAAGGGGAAGAAGCTGGATGGTCTCTGTGATCGCGCCGCCTCGAGCAATTCGAGCAGGAAGGGAGAGCCGCGGCTGGGCAGACTGAATCTGGACCACGAAGCTCGCAGCTGCACTTTGACTGAAGGTGCTTGGGCTGCGGCATGCTGTGCGGGCAGAGTGACCGAAAGCGTAAGCAGCAGAGCTAGCCAGGCGTAGCCGGTGCTTAGCAACGAGATCGCACGCATTCTGCCTCGTTGCGCAGGCGCGCGTCGGGTCGGAAGATGGTCAGAGACGATGACGAGAAGGGTCGGTGGTCGAAGTGAAGGAGTGAGGCACCGGTGGTCAAAGCGTTCCGGCGGGCACGATTTCCTCCACGTCGGACCTTCATCTCAGGGTCGCCTAAATCTCGATCGGCCAGCCCCCGATCCAATACAAAGAGCTCTGCACACCATCTTTGCTCGATGCCAATGCCGTCAGGGCCATTCAGCGGTGCTACGGTATCGGCATCCACTTGGCGATACGTTCCAGACGGGGCCCGGTCTCAGTTTAGTGGTAGAGTGGCAGACGCGCACACACGGAACTCGTCCATGGAGATAGCACACAGGACCGCGAAGGCACAGACAAGCAAGATGGGTGAAGAACTTGATTCGGGAGGCAACAAAAGAAAGCGAATGACCGACTGCTACAGCGGCTCGAGGATCGCGAATGGCACCAAATACCTGCGTATAGCAACAGGATCTATCAGAAACGAGCGGCCAACCCTCCCTCGGAGCTCAGGAACAAGCTCCCACTTAAGGTCGCAAGCCGTGTTGCTCGTCGGGCAAAGGTCCTCGGCGGGCGGCTAGAATCAATGATGTGCACGAGGCACATCATCGACAAGGCCCTTGGATAGCCTCACTGTCGTGAAGGGCGGCAGCGCTCGGGTTTCATCTACTAGATTGAATAAGGTGACATGCAATTGAGCATGTAGAATCGGATATCGACTTTATTAAGTGATTCCGTAAAGCTGCGAGGGAGAAAGCGAGGGGAGACGAAGAGGCCGATGTTAGTGGATCCGTGCTGAATCGAGGCGGATGGGTTGCGAGAGGGGTGGGTGGCGGAGGAAGGATGCTGCTGGGCTGACGGCCGTACTCGAAGAGGTCGAGCAATGTCGAATGGCCAGAGCAAGGGGAGGATATCGCAAGGTAGGGGTCGGGTGTGGTACTCACTATGATCTTGAAGGGAAGGAAGGAGGGATGCGCGAAGAATGCCGGCTTATATACCTTCTGCCCTCGCTGCTCAGTGCAGCAACCAGCCCTGTCTCCCTTGCGCAAGATTTTTTTTTGCTGAGAAAATTTCGGCTCCACTCGAGCTGCGGTCTGGAAGCCGGGATTTTTCGAGCCTGGCTTGGAAATTTCTCGAGATGCGCGGTGGGGCCGAAAAAACTGCGGCACACATGTGGCACTGAGACGAACCTGCGGCACAGAGGAGATCCCTTCTGCCGGTCGAGAAGGGGCTCAGAATGATCGGACAATGGTCGGAGCGCTCGAGGTGGTCGTCGACCATGTTCCTAGCGGGCGTGAGGGAAGACTTGGACATGCCAAGTTGTGACGGCCGTCAAGGCTTTGTTCAAGAAGATCTTCTTCAGGGTCTGTCGAAGCAACGATGGCGGCAATCGAAATCGATCGGCCCGATGATAAAATTGGACTTCGATGACTCAACCGATCTAACAGCATCAAGAATCTCAATTATCGGCGATCTACGAGGCGGATCAACTGGCATGCAGAAGAGCTGGCGCTCCAAACGGAGGAGACCAACCGCAAGAGATGCAGTTGAGGAAGGCAGGAGGAGGGCTTGCTGCCGGGTGCCACAGCCGCTGCTGCCAAATTAGGGGTGCCGACAGGGTGCTGATGGTGCTGCAGCGTGCCAGCGAGGCGGTTGCGGTCGAATTCGATGCTGCGCCGAGCGTTGGCAGGCCGAGCTGGAGACGAAAAAAAAGTGTTGGTCTCACGTTTTCTCGTGAGGCGCCAGCGAGGCAAGAAATTCGGCAGCGCCGTGCATGGAAGCAAAGCGACCGCGCGGAAGTGTGCAACGCGAAAAAGGTCCAAGCAAGACTGGCTCGGTGTCGATTCCGAGAGCGATGACCGGCGCGACGCCTCCTTGCAAGCGCGGGGACCTTCTCTCCTCGATCGGATTCCGCAACGCTCTGCCGGCGCTCCTGCAGGCGGCTCTCGTAGGCTAGGCGAGGTCAGTCGCTGTGGTCGAGCGCATTGCAGGCCTCGATCGAGGGTAGCCCCCCAGATCGATCATGCTGCTAGCTGCAGCCCGAGCACCTGCAACGTTGCCGTCGCCACTGAGCGGCGCGGTGATTTCAGCCCAGCCTGTCACTCGCGCCGACCGCGTCGTGCCTTGACACTCCCTTGACATTCGCTTGGCACTGCCAGCCCGAGCCGGTCTTGACCGCCCTCAAACATGTGGACCAGCAATGCATTCTGCTTGCTGGCTGGGCTACCACGCGGAAGACACTGAGCAGACCATGAGGAGACCACATTGCGTGCACTGCTGTACAGTATGTGCGTGCAGTGTGGTGCGAATAGGCGAAGGCGAGGCGGCAAGGGGCAAGGGCGAGCGGCGGCAACCGGCCAAGGCTGCTGGGAGTGACAACGGCGGAAGTCCGCCAAGCAGCATTGTGCAGTCCAAGCTGCCGAGCCTGCCAACGAGCCCCTTCTGCGAACCCTTTCGAAAGCATCGAGCCGACGTCGGCGCGGCGCGGCGCATCCATGAGTAGCGCCCGTCGCCTACGACTCGCTTGGCAAGCAGCTAAAACGGCGTGCATGCAGCCGTATGCCAAAATGGGGTGCCATACTGTACTCAGTGCAGCAGCATGCTCGCCTCGCCGTCCACACCTCGCACCGCCCGCTTCACCTTGCCGTCCGTCGCCTACGACGTGCTCGCACGCGCTTCCTCTTCCAGTCACAGTGCTACGCATGTGCGACATGCGTGTGGTGGTGGTGGCGGCGGCAGCGTTGCGCCTCCTGACAATCGCATGCGCTTTCGAGGCGAGGGCGGTGCCTGCGATCCAATGCTGAGCGGTTCTACCGTACTGCCGTTCCGCTGTCAGTCTCACTGAGCCCTCCCTTCCTCCCAAGTTCCCGGTGTGAGATGGGTTGTGCTCCTCCTCGGCTCCCCTGTCTGCGTGCATCGTTTCGTTCCTTTTGCCCTTCCTTCCTTCCTTCCTTCCTTCCTTCCGTTCCACTACATCCTCACCCCCCAGTCTCGCTTCCTCCGTCGAACCACTTCCCTCTCCTCGCATACACGTATCCCAAGTTGCTGGTCTTCTTTCGATACGCACCCATCTGTTCACCTGCTCTGCTGCGCGGAACTGCTTGAACTCGACATCAAAACCAACTCGACTCGACGTCGTGATCCATCTCGTCCCCCTCCTCTCTCTCAACTACTAACCCTCTCCTCTCATCCTCTCCTCCTTCTCGTCCCCGTGTGGTTCGACACCATCCCCCCTCTCTCCTACGCATCCATTCCCACCTTGCACCGCTTTGGCAAGATACTTTTGACAAGTCATCTGTGCCTACCGACATCCCCTTCGATCGCATTCGCTCGTCTACTTCTAGCATAGCATCATCACCTTTCTACTGAACACAGTCGTTCGCTGCATTCCCTCTCTCCACCCCAACATCACCTGATCCTGCATCTCTCCGTCATCATGGCTCCCATCGCAAAGACCGTCTGCGTGGCGCTTGCCGCCATCGCCCTCGCCGCCACGGGCACTCAGCCCGCCCAGGCCCATCAGCTTCACTCTCGCCACGCCGCTGCTGGTAGCAACGTCTACCACAACCTTCACTCGCACTCTCGCCGCATGGAGCGAAAGATCCGTCGCAACGACTCCTTCTCTATCTCGGGCTCCGGCAGCCTCTCGGGCGCCGCTGCCGTCGACGGCGCTTCCTCCTCCGCCTCCATCTCGGGCTCCGGCTCCATCTCTGGCTCGGCCTCCGACTCGGGCTCGCAGTCCAGCGCCAAGTCTCAGTCCGACTCTGGTGCTGATTCGTCCGCCAAGTCGGGTGCCGACTCCGGAGCGCAGTCCAGCGCTCAGTCCAGCGCTCAGTCTAGCGCTCAGTCCAGTTCCGAGGCTAGCTCGCAGGCTAGCTCGCAGGCTAGCTCGCAGGCTAGCTCGCAGGCAAGCTCCGAGTCGAGCGCTCACTCGAGCTCTCAGTCTGATGCCAACTCGAGCTCGTCCAGCAGCTCGTCCAACTCGTCCAGCCAGTCGAGCTCCCAGGCCAGCTCCCACTCCAGCTCCGAGTCGAGCGCCTCGTCCAGCTCTCATGCCGAGTCCCAGTCGGGCTCGAGCGCCAACTCGAGCGCCAACTCGAGCGCCAGCTCCAACTCTGACGCCGGTTCCGATGCCAACGCCGGTTCCGATTCGAAGGGTTCGAGCGAGAGCGGTGCACAGAGCAACCATGCCTCGGGCTCCAGCTCGTCGGCCGGCCCTACTTCGACCGCTTCGGCATCTGGCACGGCTGCGACGACGTCGAGCACTCCTTGCACCGACCACAAGACGGGCACTCACTCGGGCAGCGCCTCGGGTGCCTCTGCCACCTCGACCGCCTCGCACGTCAGCGCCGCCAGCGCCGCCTCTGCTGCCTCTGCCAGTGCCACTTCGACCCACTCGAGCGGCTCGGCCAGCGCCGCCTCGTCTACGCCTTGCACCGAGAGCAACAAGGCCAGCTCCACCGCTTCCGCCGCCACCGCTCAAAAGACCCCCGAGGCAGAGTCGTCGTCCGGCAGTCAGGCTGCTTCCGAGTCGTCGTCCCAGTCCGATGCTGGCGCGCAGGCCGCCGCCAGCTCCAACGCCGACTCGACCGCTCAGTCCAGCTCCCAGTCTGGTTCTTCCGATGATGACGAGGACTGCGACGATGACGACGAGAGCGAGGCTTCGTCCACTGCTACCTCCGGTGCTGCCTCCGGTGCCAGCTCGGGCTCCGCTTCCAACTCTGGCTCCAGCTCCAACTCTGGCTCGGGCTCGAACTCTGCCTCGAACTCTGGCTCTGGCTCTGCCTCCCACTCTGTCTCTCACTCTGGTTCCAACTCTGGCTCTTCCTCCTCCGGTTCCAACTCGGGCTCCTCCTCTGGTGCCGTCTCTGGCTCGAGCTCGGGCAGCTCTTCGAACGCTGGTGCTTCCTCGACTGCTGGTGCCAACGCTGGCTCTTCGTCGTCTGGCTCTTCGGACGCCAACGCTGGCGACGATGACTGCGACGAGGGTGGCGACGCCGACGCCACTGCCGACGACGACGAGGACTGCGACGAAGACGAGACGTCTAACACTGGTTCGGATGAGACCGACGAGGACTGCGACGATGAGGACAGCGGCAGCTCGTCCAACGCAGCTGCTGCGGCCGCCGCTTCGTCTTCGTCTTCGGCTTCGTCGTCGTCCAACTCTGGCAGTGACAACAGCAGCAACAACCAGCAGCAGCCCAAGGCGGCATCTTCGACCTCGTCGAGCTCTGCTGCGCCCACTGCCACTCCTCAAGCTCAGCACGACCAGAACAGCAACAAGGCTAGCTCGTCGTCGTCGGCTCCTGCCTCTTCGACCTCTGCGTCGGGTGCCGTGGCCTCTGCGGCTGCATCTGCTTCGTCGTCGGCCAGCAGCCTCGCCAACGCTGTCAGCGGTGGGTTTGCGACGTTCTTCTACCAGAACGGAAACGCGGGCGCTTGTGGCAACCGCAACTCGGACTCGTCGGCTGTGGCAGCCCTCCAGTCGCAGACGTACGCAGGTGGGGCTCACTGCGGTAAGCAGATCAAGATCTTCCGCGCCGACAACCCCAGCAAGTCGGTGCTCGTCACCGTGGCCGACGAGTGCCCCAGCTGCGTGAACAGCGAGTCGATCGATCTCTCGGTCGGTGCCTTCACCCAGATTGCCTCCGAGTCCGAGGGCATGGTCGGCATCAAGTGGGAGTGGGCCTGAGCGCTCTGAAGCCTGATACGAGGCTGCCATCCTCGCTGCGTTGATTGTCACTACCCCAAGCTTTGTTTCGTTTCATTACGTGCGGACCGGGTGTTCGTCACGTTGGCATCTCTCTGTTCTCTGACTCTTTCGTCTAGGTCCTTCTGTGCATTGCTGCAGATCACACGGACGCCCGTCGGAGCGTGCATGCTGTGTCTCTCGACTCGAGCTGGTCTCGATGCCCGGGATGCACTGACGCTCCGACTGCTCGTCGAGATGGATCGCCGCGTCCGCAGTCAATCGGGCCTGGTCAAAGCCAGAACTTCTCCCCCTCCAATCTCTTGTTTCATTCCCTGTCCTTTTCGTCACGATCACGTCCGACGGCGGCTCTGCTGTGCGGAGGTTTCTGTCTGGTTCTTTTGGTTGCGGCCTTCTTTTCTGCACCTGCCTTGCTATGGATCCGCAAAAGCGAAACGGAAATGCTGGCTGCCTTGTCAAATCGGAAATGGATTTACTTCTTCTCCTCCCTTGCCCTGATGGCCGCATGGCTCTCTGTGCACGATGACGAGACCTTGAGCTTGGTTGGAGGGTGCAAGCATGGCGGCGGCGAAAAACTGTTAGGCCACAATGGAGCCAACCAACACCTCGCTGGCTGGACTGGCTGGACTGCGCCGGCTGGCGTGTGAGAAGGAAGGAGCCAAGAGAGGCAGGCGCGTGTGCATTTTGCAACTCCGGCTCGTCACGCTGCTGCGATGGAATTTTGTGATTTTGGCAAGGAGAGAAGCTCAAGCCACGCGCAGGGGGGCAGCAGCACGCGCGCGTTGCTCAGATGAATGCGCGAGAGAGAGGAATAGAGCAGAGAGAGACGTGCGTGTGTGTGTGTGTGTGTGTGTGGGTTTGGCAGCCCGCTCGGGGCAGCGAGAAGAGGGAGGTGTTGCTGTGCTGGAGCCGTGGATTGTTGCTTGGGCCGCCAGAGAGACGCACACTCATCCACCCCGGCTTGGTTGGAAGATGTCGACAAAGTCCATCGTCGTCTTGGCTCGGTCCATCCCACAATCACTTCTTCATCCTCCTCGTCTTCCACCACTCCTTCTCTTCGCTTCAACCCGTGCGGCCAACAACGCATTCATACCCCGCTGCCGCAAACCGCCGTCGTCGCATGGTGTGATCGTCGACCTTTCATTCGATTCAACTGTTGTTGCTTTCTGCCAGCCATCTCATCCTTGCTATTGGACATACAGTGATACCGCTCAGCATATCCCTCCTGACTCCGACCGGCCAACTGCATGTCCAGGTGGCTACACAACTCTCTGCATCTCTTCGTCGATCGTCAACTTGAATTCACCAACAATCGTTGGAAGCTCCAACTTCAAGGCAGCCATCTTACCGCCAGCCCGATCTAGACCTCGATCAGCAACTGCGATCCTAGACGTTCTCAGCTCGACTCTTAGCCGCTTCGTACAGCCTTGAGCGACCCCCGCCTCTCATACGCATCTTGGAGCGTCGCCTCCCATCTGCGCATCCCTCTTCGCTGTCGCCCCTCGCGCTACTTTCGCAGAGTCGCCCACCATGCTCTCATCCGGTGCCGGCTCGTCGATACGCAAGAAGCGCAACTTCAAGGGTCTCCAGCTCGCCGAATCGCCGCTGGCGAGTCCTGCGGGCGCAGCCTCGACTCCCAACAATGGCGAAAGCTCAGCCGCCTCGAATGCGTCGACGATCGGCAAGTCGGCCACCGTGACGCCGGGCGGCTCGCTCGCGCTTCCAGGGCGAAACGGCGCCGAGGCGGAACCCAACTCAGGCGCCAACTACCACAATAAGCTCACGCAACAACTCGCCAACCTCGAGCTCGGCGTCGAGTACAAGCTGGACCTCAAGAACGAGGACCTCAAGACGGTGTCGGAGCTGGGCGCTGGCAACGGCGGCACGGTGACCAAGGTGCTGCACGAGAAGAGCGGCACAGTGATGGCCAAGAAGGTGGTCTTCATCGATGCCAAGCCGAGCGTGCGCAAGCAGATCCTGCGCGAGCTGCAGATCCTGCACGAGTGCAACTCGCCGTACATTGTGTCGTTCTACGGCGCGTATCTGAGCGAGCCGCACATCTGCATGTGCATGGAGTTTATGGACAAGGACTCGCTCGACGGCATCTACAAGAAGCACGGGCCCATCCCGCCCGAGATCTGCGGCAAGATTGCGGTGGWGGTGGTGCACGGCCTGACGTATCTGTACGACGTGCATCGCATCATCCACCGCGACGTCAAGCCGAGCAACATCCTGGTCAACGGCAAGGGCCAGATCAAGATCTGCGACTTTGGCGTGAGCGGCGAGCTGATCAACAGCATCGCCGACACGTTTGTGGGCACCAGCACCTACATGTCGCCCGAGCGCATCCAGGGCGACCAGTACAGCGTCAAGTCGGACGTGTGGAGTCTGGGCGTGTCGGTGATCGAAGTGGCGCTGGGCCACTTCCCGTTTGCCAACAACGACGACGACGAGTCGGACTCGGGCTCGGATTCGGATGCGGATCTGGAGCGCGCCAATGCGCTGGTGCACGAGGATCTGGGCGGCACGCTGTCGCCGACCAAGCGTGCGCCCAAGCTGCCCGTGGCGGCAGCAGCGGCGGCGCAGAAGCAGAGGCGTCGCAAGTCCAAGGCGGCCGGGGTGAGCTTGGAGGGCTCGAGCCACCAGATGTCCATCCTGGATCTGCTGCAGCACATTGTCAACGAGCCACCGCCCAAGCTGCCCGAGGGACGCTTTCCCAAGCTTATGGAGGAGTTCGTCCAGCTGTGCCTGGTCAAGGACCCGGCGAGGCGCCCGACACCCAAGGACCTCACAAAACACGCCTACGTCATGGAGGCCGATGCGGCCAAGGTGGATCTGCAGGCGTGGGTGGACGGTATGAAGTAGGTCGGGCGGAAGCTAGACATGGTCTTTTCGTGCATCTGTTCATGGGTCTTGTTTTGTTGCAATAGCAGGTGTGACTGTCTTTGGTCTGTGAATGTCGAGCTGTGGTGCAGGGTGAGGGGAGGGATTGGGCGGCGGAAAGCACGCCATGCGCCTCCACATTCGGACTTAGGCCGTGGGCATGTCCGTGCGTCTTTGCCGAAGCATTTGAGCGGGTGTGCAAGTATTTTCCAATGTGGCAGGGTTGCTGGGCTTGCACTTCTACCACCATCTTCATCATGGTTGAGCACAGTGTTTCTGTGCATGCGGGGCAAGACGGCCAGTTTCGTCGGCAGGTATCTGCGTTTCGGAATACGATTTCGCCCGACGGCCCGCACGAGCCCGAACGCGGGAGGTACATTCTGTACTGCGCATTGATTTGTCCATGGGCATGTCGTACGCTTCACACACGCGCACTCAAGCAGCTCGAGGAGATCATCGACGTGGCCATCGTGCATTACGAGCTGACGCCGAACGGGTGGTCTTTTGCACGGGTCGATGAGGTGGAAACGGGCGATCCAGTGCATGGACTCGAGAACACCAAGCAGCTCTACCTCAAAGCCGATCCGAACTACACGGCTCGATACACGGTGCCTATTCTGTGGGATAAGAAGTTGGGGACGATTGTGAACAACGAGTCGTCGGAGATCATCCGTATCCTCTATACGGCTTTTGACGATCTACTACCCTCCGATAGCCCTGCGAGGGGCAAAACGTACTATCCCGCCGAAGCTAGAGCCAAGATCGACGAGCTCAACGAATGGATCTACCGCGATCTCAACAATGGCGTGTACAAGACTGGATTTGCAACGACGCAACAGGTGTACGATCAAGAAGTGGATACCGTCTTCCAGGCGCTCGACCGTCTGGAGAAGGTGCTGGGAGATGGAAGGAGGTATCTTGTGCCGGAGATCGGATTGAGCGATGCGGATATTCGACTGTATCCGACGCTGGTGCGGTTTGATGTGGCGTACCATACGCTGTTCAGGTGCAACACCGGCATGATTCGTCACGACTATCCCCATGTGCATCGCTATTTGAGGCAGCTCTACTGGGGCGAAAGCGCGTTCAGGGACTACACCAACTTTACCCACATCAAGCGCGGCTATGCGGGAGTGGGCGCCAACAAGGGCATCGAACCAAGGGGGCCTCTTCCGCATGTACTGCCGCTGGATGACTAGCCACACACCCTGCTTGCTGGCTTGACAGTGTATTGCTCAGTTGTGTCTTGCTGCTTTTCATTAGACGCCACAGCGGGAATGTCTCAGGTGCGATGCTGCATGTACCGCGAACGGCATTACGTGAAGGGTTGCGGGTGGGGCATTGGGAGCCAACGATTGCGGGGCTTTGTGTTGGATTGGATGTGCCAGCGAACCAAGGCAATGGGATGCGGCTTTTGCGCGCTTGAAGCGGGTGAGGGAGCTCGCTATGTCAGGGCTGGGCGAGCTGGCGACGCAAGGAGGGGAGGCTCTTGCAACGGGCTCGCGTGGCATTCTCACGGCCCTGACTGGCAGTCGAGTTTTTGGCTGCAGAGAGAGACGCGCGCGCGCTCAGGAACCCTGGCCTGGCTCGAGGTTCATGCATGTGGTTGTCACCGCCTGGCTAGCTTGGGACCGCTCATGGAAGCCTCCCCTTTCCCCCACCGGCTAAAGTTGCTGTCAATGCTCACACACACTCTCTCTCTCGCTCAGCGCGGACCCCGGCGAGTTGGGGGGAGGCCCTGGCTCGCTACCGGTAAAGCAAGGCTGTGCAGCGGCCAGCAAGGCATTTTGGTTGACAGTTTCGAGGGTCCATTCCAGCGCTTAATTCCGGGCAACGCATACACCTGGAAGGTCTGGAAGAAGAGTCGGTCAATCGAACAAGCCCGAGACAAAAAAAAAAAGGTTGCAAGGGCCGTCGACGGGATGCTGTGAGGAGCTTGGCCATACGAACTTACAGTAAGCTGGAGCGAAAGCGGAGTCGTCGTTGGTGCGGCTCGGGCGACGCTGACGCTTGAATTTTGAGCCTGTCGTGAGCCTTTTGTTGAAAAATAATGGTGGTGTTAGTCGACGCGCTCACTGGATCACAGATGGATGGCCCTGACGGAGCGCGTTCCTCTCTCGCCTTCCCCCGCACATTTGAAATGATTTATTAAATAATATTTTTTTTTGGACTTTCGTCACGCCTGGCGCAGGTCGAAGGGAGAAAGAGAGAGAGGCAGAGGCTCAGAGAGGTGCGTCGCGACTCGCCGAGGCAGAGAAAGAGAAAGGGAGAGAGCGAGAGGGAGAGAGAGAGAAGGACGGTCTCGGGCGAGGTGCGACACACACACACATCCATGCACCAACAGCACCCAACCTCGTCCGCAGTCTCGCGGCGCCAACCTCGCTCCTCTTGACTCACCGATCATCATCTCTCTCCCTCCATCGCTTCTTCACCCTCATCGTGCTGCGCATCGTGTTGCCTGCCACGTCTTCCTCTCATCCACGCCCGGCTCGCCCGCCCGCCCGCTCGTTCGCTCCTTCGCACCACCACCTTCGCTGGCAAGCAAGCTTGACAAAACACGCTACGCTCGACTCGAGTCGTCGATCTTAGCCTCTCACCATCATCCTTACGTCGTCCTTGCTGGCCAAGGTCAACTGCCCACCGCGTCGCTTGCTCGGCACATCGTATCCCAAGCACAATACCATGGAAACTCGAGCTCGAAGCTGCTTTTCATAGCCGTCACAATCCGCCTCATTTCATCTGAACCCACCAGAAAAGTCGGCCGCGACCCAAGACATTCATTCAAATTCCTTCAACACGCACGCTCCATCGTCCCTCTTTCCTACTCTCAGGGACATGCTCTGAGCCATATCTGTGTCCATCCCCGCACGCATCTCCGCACGCATCTCCGCCCCTTCCTCAGCACAATCGCGCGCTCTCTGCTCACCATGTCGTCCTGGGCTTCCGCTTCCTCCTCCCAGGCGCAAGCCAGCTTTACTCCCGCCCTCTCCGACAACGAAGACGAGCTCGACATCCAGCCCGAGGAACACGTCGTCGCGCTCCACGACTTCAACTCCAACAATGCCACCTGCCTCTCCTTCCAGGCCGGCCAGGTCATCAGGGTCTACAATCGCGACCCCTCCGGCTGGTGGGACGGCGAACTCGACGGTCAGCGCGGCTGGTTCCCCAGCAACTACGTAGACCAGGAGGCCGTCTACGTATCCGACGACGGTCACGCCAACAGCTATTCCTACGAACATCCCGACCTCCTTCGTCCTGCCTCCATCAGCCGAGCTTCGTCCCACCACCACCCGCCATCCGCTCCCGCAGACACAGCCCACCACCAGCGCTACTTTTCCGCAAACTCCTCCCGCTCCTCCACCCCGACCTCCACCCCCTTGGTCGATCGCGGAGATGCCGGCGTCCTCGATCCCATCTTGCACGCCATCTCGCTCCTCCGCAATGCCGTGCGTGCCAACCGTGTGGCACACTTCCAGCCCTCCACCGCCTGCGTCATCTCCTCGGTCCGCTCCGTCCTCTCCGCCACCGACTGCCTCACTCGCGAGTCGCCCGTGCTCAAGGCAAATCCCCAGCTCGCCCGCGAGCGCAAGGCCATCCTCTCCGAGCTCAGCAAGCTCGTCGCACAGGCACGCACCGCTTCCGCTCCCATGGTCGACGAGACCCAGCGTCCCCAAGAGATGGACTCCATGCTCCAACTCGCTGACCACGTGCTCGCCAACGTGCGCGACTTTCTCACCGTCGCCCTCGAATCCGGCGTGCCCGTGCCCGATCGCCGCTCTTCCGTCTACGACGACCTCTACACCTCCCGCTCCGCCGCCGCCGCCGCCGCACCGCCTGCCGACCCTCGCGCTCGCTCCGCAAACGCCCCACACGAGCTCGACAAGACTCCCACTCCGCAGTATCCTCACGCGCGCGCCTCCGCTTCTGCCCCCGGCTACCCATCGCGACAGGAATACGCCGCAACCTACGACACGGCCACAGGCTACACCGACACGCGCCGCAGCTATCTCCAGCATCGCCACCCCTCCGACGGCTCGCTCGAATCGTCAGAGGAAGGCGCCCATGCCATCGCACAAGCTCGATCCATCACACAGCGACAGCTCAACGGACGCGCCGAAACCGTCGCCGCCGCCGTCGCCAACCATCTCGGCATGGCGCGCTCTCGCTCCGACTCGAGCTCCGAATCGCCCGACTCCACCTCCGGTCACGACACCGCCTCCCACCACGGCTCGGCCGGCTCCGCCGACGACGACGAGCCTCCCAGCCCCATCGAGCGCACTCCCCACGAGGTCATGCAGCGTCTCAGCATCACCAACGACCAGCTCCTCTCCATCATCGCCGCCTTCATCGGCCACGTACACACCCACACCTCCGAGAGCCACGCTTCCAGCTACGCTCATCTCATCGACATGACGCGCGAGGCCGTCGTCGGCGTGCGCAACCTCTTACTCGTGGTCGAGGCCGTCAACAACAACGTCGTCCTCCAGCAACTGCGTCCGCGCCAGACCTCCATCCTCTGGGAGACGCGCGAGAATCTCTACGAGGCCACCACTCAGCTCGTCACCGCCGCGCGCATCGTCACCTCGGCTCCCTCGGCCTCCATCACGGCTGGATCGGCTGCCGAAGCCGAGGACAAGTCGCGCCTTCTCCAGGCTGCCACCAGCGTGCTCAGGACCGGCGGAGAGTGCGTCGGTGCCGTGCGTCTCTGCATCGACCGCCTCGAGCCCGGCTTCACCATCTCGCTTCCCGAGCCATCTCGCTCGCGACACCCGCGCGCTTCGTCGCAATCGCGCGCCTCGGCCGAGCCCGAGTCCAACGGCCACTCGGGCGAGCATGGCGATGCGCGCACAGACGATGCGGATGCAGACGCCGCTCGCGAGACCCGCCGAAAGAACACGCTCTCTTTCCTCGGACGCAAGGCAACCAGCCTGTCGTCGCTCAAACAAAAGTACGAGCGCGGCGAGCACTCGACCGACTTTGAGGACATCGACGAGGACGAGCACAGCGGCGAAGAATCGGAAGCGTCCAAGCCCGGCGGCCGCACCGCGCACGCCATGTCCAGCCGCTCCTCCTCGCTCATGGGTGCCGCCCCTTCCTCGGGCGACCGCAGTTCGCACCCCGCTCAAGCTCGCACGTCTGTCCCTGGCAGCAGCGCATCGGGAGCGGGCTCGTCGGTCGAAATGCTGTCGGAGGACGCGGCTCGAACGTCGCGATCCACGATCCAGTCGATCCGATCCGAATGCACTGGCGAAACCTCGGCTCGTCCTTCGCTCGAGGCGCAGCTAGCTACAGGCACCGTGCCGGATGCGCACACCACCGCGCAGACCGCAGCCAAGCAGCTCGCCGGCGGCGCGGTGGATCGACAGTCGATGTACAGGGAGCACCGGGGTCCCACCAGCTCGCTCGAGGCTCGCTACATGGCGCCCGACTACGATCCGTCGGACGTCGTGTGTAACTCGGAAGGGCAGGTGACCGGAGCCACGCTCAGGGCGCTCGTCGAGAAGATGACGCCGCACGACACCATGGTGGAAGCGACGTTCTCGAGCTCGTTCTTCCTGTGCTTCAGGATGTTCTCGTCGCCGCAGGAGCTGCTGGATGCGCTCGTGGCGCGCTTCGAGATGCGTCCGCCCGCCGACGTGCCGATGAGCGAGGCGGACGTGGCGCGCTGGAACGACAAGAAGCTGGTGCCCGTGCGATTGCGCGTGCTCAACCTCATCAAGAACTGGCTCGAGAATCACTGGAATCCCGTCACGGACCGCGTGATCCTGCAGCAGCTGATTCCGTTTGCGGAGCGATGCACCAGCGCTAGCGGTGTGGGCGGACCCGCGCACCGCGTCGCCGAGCTGGCGCGCAAGCGACTCGACGGCGCCACGCAGAAGACCACGGTGCTCGTGGGCAACACGCGCGGGCCGGGAAGCCTGCAGCGCGTCATCTCGTCGGAGCGCATGAAGGGCGGGCTGGGACTCGCCATGACGGATGCTTCGCAGATGTACGCGCCCTCGGCGTTTGCCAAGGGCGGCGCGCTCCCGCCGACGTCGGTGGTGTCCAAGACGCTACTGGCGAATCTGCGTCAGGAGAACTTTGACAAGATCAGCGTGCTCGACTTTGATCCGCTCGAGCTGGCGCGACAGCTGACCATCCTGGACAGCAAGCTGTACTGCGCGATCCAGCCGGAAGAGCTGCTGGGATCCAAGTACACCAAGGAGACCAAGGCGGCGGGGATGGGTGCGGATGTGCACGTGAAGAGCATGTCGTCCATGTCGACGCGCATCACGGGGTGGATCAGCGAGTGCATCCTGGGCGAGGCGGACGCGCGCAAGCGCACACAGCTGCTCAAGTTCTTCATCAAGCTGGGCGACCGATGCGAGCAGCTCAACAACTTCCACACGCTCATGGCGATCCAGTGTGCGCTCAACTCTTCGACCATCGCGCGGCTGAAGAAGACCTGGGATGGACTGTCGACCAAGTACCGCGGCATGATGGATCAGCAGCGACGCGCGGTGGAGCACACGCGCAACTATGCGGCGTACCGTGCGCGGCTGCGCAACACGATGCCGCCTGCGATTCCGTTCCTGGGGCTCTTCCTGACGGACCTGACGTTCTGCCACGAGGGCAATGCGGCGACGCGACCGTGCCCGTCGAACGCGGACAAGAAGCTGCTGAACTTCGACAAGTACGTCAAGATAAGCCGCATCGTGGGCGAGGTGCAGCGCTTCCAGGTGCCGTACAATCTGGTCGAGGTAAAAGAGATGCAAAAGTTCCTGCAGCGCGCGCTCGACGATGTGCAGGGCGCACAGGGCGGGCGTGGCGCCGACGACCTCTACCGACGCAGTCTGCTGCTCGAGCCGCGAGCCGCCACCAAGCGCGGCGGCGCCGCAGCCGCAGCGGGATCGACGGCGTCGTTGAGCGGGAGCGTAGCCATGCGCCAGAGCAGCAACGGCGCCCCAACGGATAACGGCAAGCTGGCCGGACTGGATATCTTTAACTGGCGCACCGACAAGACCTAGCGCAGCAACGAGCGTTCAAGATAGACTTGCTACCGGTTTGGTGGTAATGTGTATAATCTGTCTCCGCTTGTTGTTCGGTTCTGCGGATTGTGTGAAGCCGAGGCTGGCGAGTGTTGGTTGTGCGTTGGCCGAGGGAGGGGATGCAACGGACACCGGTGAATTCTGTCGGAAGCTTCAGGGAGCGGGGCACGCAGGGTGGAGATCCGTCAGTGCCGGTGGGGGACGGAAAGATCCGCGCTGTTCGTCCGGCGGTGTTTTCGGCCTGGCTCTGCACTGGTACTGTATGCCCTGTACCCAATCGTTGTATGACTCATTTGCCTGGGCGTGCGTGCATTCTCCATGCGCTCTCCCCAATGTAGGTTGTAGGTTGTGCAAGCGTACAGCAAGGGCCAGTGGATAGCAATGTAAGCACGACTCATGATGGCAGGAGGTCTGGAAGGGTCGGGCTCGACGAGGGCCCGATCTCCGAGGTGTGGAAGGAGGGGGAGCAGGGTTTGAAGTCGGCCCGCAAAATTCGAAGTGGGCGCGGCTTGGAAAATTGGAGCGCTGCGATTCGATGCCAATACAAAAATTCGTGGGCTGGGCCGAATATCTCCACTTGCATCGGAGGCTGAGGCTGAGCGAGCGCAGAGCAAAGCCAAGGGTGTGTTGGTCAGGGCGCAGCGTCTGTGCTGACGGATCCAGCCGCCCGTCGTCATGGCCAGCAGCAGGGCACAGCACAGGCGCGTGCCCATCGCCAAATTCTTCGCAGCTCGCCCTCGGGGTGTGGATGTGTGTGGACGTGTGTGGACCGTGACCACAAAGCCAAGACGGATCATCGCTCTTCCGCTCACAGAGTCCTTCTTCATCAAACCCCTCTCTCGCCCCGTTCCTCCACAACATCCCTTCATCTCCATCCCTCTCGTCAATACCATCGCGCATCGACGAGTCCTCTTTCCTTTCCCTTCCTTTCGATCTTATTCGCGCCTATCATGTTCCCTCGATCTATCGCTCAGTCCAGCGCCAGGGCCGCCAGGTCGCTCGCGCTTCGCTCGGGCTCGGTGCGCATGGTGACGCCCGCCGTCGCGCGCAGGACGCTCATCACCGCCACCGCCCAAAAGTCGCTCGCCATCGCCGCGCACAACATGACCTCCCTCCCCGCCCAGAGGTAAGTGACACCACGAACCCGCACGACGGATCACCACGATAAACTGACACAATCGCGTCTTTGTTGGTCTTAGCAGGAACTTCTCGTCGTCGGCCAGCCGCAAGGAGATCGTCAAGGTGCCCCAGATGGCCGAGTCCATCACCGAGGGCACGCTCAAGCAGTGGAACAAGAAGGTCGGCGACTTTGTCCAGGCCGACGAGGAGGTCGCCACCATCGAGACCGACAAGGTACGTGCCAGCTCCGCGTGAGCCGTCGTAAGCTGGCATACTGATCACCATCTAATCTGGCTATTTTTGAACGCTCACAGATCGACGTCTCGGTGAATGCACCCCAGTCCGGCACCATCGTCGAGGTGTTTGCCAACGAGGAGGACACGGTGGAGGTGGGCAAGGACCTCTTTAAGCTCGAGCCCGGTGAGGCACCCGCCGGTGGCGCCAAGAAGGAGGAGAAGAGCGAGGAGAAGAAGGAAGACAAGAAGGAGGACAAGCCCAAGAAGGAGGAGTCCAAGCAGCAGCAGCAGCCCGAGAAGAAGGGTGACGACAAGAAGCCCGCCCCGGCCGCCGAGCCCGAGTCGCGCCCTTCGGCTGCCAACTCGACGCCGCCCCCGTCGAAGCCGTCTTCGTCATCGTCGTCTTCGTCGTCCAAATCGTCATCGTCGTCCGGCTCGTCGTCGTCGTCGTCGGCGCCAAAACCGGCGGCGGGCAGCCGAGAGGAGAACCGGGTCAAGATGTCGCGCATGCGTCTGAGGATCGCGGAGCGTCTGAAGCAGTCGCAGAACACGGCGGCGTCGCTGACGACGTTCAACGAGATCGACATGTCGAACCTCATGGCGTTCCGTGCGCGCCACAAGGACCGCATCCTCAAGGAGAAGGGCGTCAAGCTGGGCTTCATGTCGGCATTCGCCAAGGCGTCGGCCATGGCGCTCAAGGACGTGCCTGCTGCGAATGCGAGCATCGAGGGCGCTGGACTCGGCGACACGATCGTGTACCGCGACTATGTGGATCTGTCGGTGGCCGTGTCGACGGACAAGGGACTGGTGACGCCCGTGGTGCGCAACCTGGAGGGCATGTCGCTCATCGAGATCGAGGAGGCGATTGCAGGTCTGGGCAAGAAGGCGCGCGACAACAAGCTCACGCTCGAGGACATGAGCGGCGGCACGTTCACCATCAGCAACGGCGGCGTCTTTGGCTCGCTCTTCGGCACGCCCATCCTCAATCTGCCTGGTTCGGCTATCTTGGGCATGCACGCCGTCAAGGACAAGGCGTGGGTGGTGAACGGCAAGGTCGAGATCCGACCCATCATGGTCGTGGCGCTCACCTACGACCACCGTCTGCTCGACGGTCGCGAGGCGGTGACGTTCCTCGTGAAGCTCAAGCAGTACATCGAGGACATGCCCAGCATGCTTCTCTAGACCCATGCGCGCGGCAATAGCCCCAAAGCGCCTCGTTCCGTCTCCCTCTTCCATTTCACCTCCTAAATAGTATCTGGCCGTGATTGTTTTTGCTTTTTTGCTAAGCTTGGCTTGTGATGAGAGTGACAGAGGGTAAGATCGAGTGGGAGGATCGGGGTTGAGATCGAGCGTCGATGGAATCAGGGCTGCCCATGCGAAGGCAAGCGGGGCTGAAGAAGCTAGCCTCGGACGGCAAAAGAGCGAGACAGCCGGTGCTGGCTGCCAAAGCGGCATTTGGCCCTCGGATTTTTTTGGCGAAAAAAAAAAAGGTTTTCTCACCGTTTGGCAGGGGGTTCATCCCCCTGGAAACTTTTTGACACTCCGCAGCTTGGCCGACTGCCATGTGTGCCGTC